GCATATATCCATTTTTCAAAAAAACTATTACGAGGTTCTGAAGTAGCTATTGTTCTACAGTTCTTTCACTGTAATTTTGCGAGATATAGTGCAAAAACTTTCTTGCTACCCTAAATTATTCCGTTGCGAAAATTGTTCTATCACCCACAAAAGAAATACTAACAAGAAAATATTATAAAATGTTCAGGGAATTTAAAAATAAAAAATCTTAACTCTTTTATTTTAGCCTCTTTTCACTGCGTTTCAATTCTGACTTTTGATACCCATCTGCCGATTGAGTAACATTCATCTTCATGGTTGCGTTATGCTTGTTCCAATGTTCGAAAGAAACCTCTTTTGGGGAACAGTTTAGCATTTGATGATTACTGGTTGCCAAATAGGGCAGCAACAATCTATTGACCTGACTGCAAGAGTACTATATTAAGTTTTTATAACTGACAAAATTTAAAAATCCTAGCTGCTTAATTTTAGAAAAGTGAACCATATGTGGTGATTGCGGCATTTTTTTTACACACATTACCTTGCATTTCGAATTATTTCTGGTATTAAGCCTTAATCTAACAGCCATGCCATGATAAACCGGCTGTCAACGCTGTAAGGAAAATTAAGTGCATGCAGACCTGATTTAATTTTAATAAACCTGATGTCTTTTAAGCGTTTTTCACCTCTCATTTCTACGGTGACGTCGAAGGAAGGTTTCAGAATTTGACACATTTTTTCCAGAACTCCCGACTTTACAAGTGTGAGGACAAGGAACTCTCTATTCGAAACAGCATCTTAAGCACTTAACAAACGTTCACTTGCGGTGGTGCTCCTTTTGAAGAGTGTTGCAATTTTTCTGTATCTTTTATGCTCCTCCTTTATTATCTTTAGTGATTTCAATTTAGTTTAGGGTATGGAAATATCCATTTTTTTATTAGGTCATGTTTGATGTATTGTCCGAAATGATTCAATTAGTTTTTTTATGCCCCATTTTTCAATCATTCAATCGATTTCCTGAAACCAATTTTCACCAATATGAAAATCCATCATTCTGCTGATCTCGAGCAAAATTGATTTCATCTTAAACTCATCATCGATGAAGTGAGTTGTGACTGTTACGAAAGATTCGTATGCAGATGATGTCCAGCAATCACTTGTGGAATAAAGGTTTTTGCATTCTCCGTGAGTCGCTGTTCATATTATTTTGGATGCGAACTCCCAGAAAGTGTTTTTTTGTTTGGTAATTAATAGCATATATTCAATGCTTTTAAAAAATTTTAATTTAAAGAACTCGTTCACAACGACACTAGGTTTGAAAATCGGTAATGAAATAAGGTCATCAAATCGTCCATTTTCTACAATCCAAAATTAGCTTTTTGAGCACAGATTGGGTAATCTTAACCTTCTTGAAGTATTTTTTTTTCTGGCATGTTTTATTAAAATCACGTCAGGATTATTTTGCAGTCAATGATTTGCAAAGTATGCACTAGATGCCTGCTAGTTGTGATGGCATTTAATAAAGTGACCTTTTATTTCTGCCGAGTTCGTGATCTATAACCAGTTGCAATGGCAAAGCATTGCCGAATCCTTATATTATTTCGGCGATAGGGATTTTTACAGGGTTATAGAAGGCTGCAGTAAACAGTGTATCACTAATTTATAGACTCACGTAATTTTCTTTATATGTATTACTTAATTTTTATTTCACTACCACTATAAATATTGTGAGAGAACAGAGCTTCCAGGTTGAAAATAACGTTCACAATTTTCTCTTTGTGATTGGCGCAATATAAGCATTTCTGACTCTTATCCCAGAAATGTTTACCTTTCTGCCTCTTTATTGATGCAATAGTTTGCCTCCTATAAATGTACCAGGATCTATTAGTAGTGATCAGAATTAATTTTCTCGGATTCTTAGCTCGACATAATTTATTAACTCAACATTTAACGTTGAGCAAACTCTTTTTATGTCATCCATTTTTTTTCTTGACATAAAAAATGTTCTAGACCAGTGTTTCCCTAACTTATGACTTTTGTGTACCCCTTCTAAATATTTCGTAACGCTGTGTACCACTAATAAAAAAATGAATGTATATTTTACTAAAAAAAAAAATTGCACAGAAGTAAAAAACCACAGCTGGCTGTTGATACCACTAATTATTAACTGTTAACTCTGCAAAAAATAGTCAATAGAAAAATACGTAATCGTAAATTTTCATGGGTAGCTTTGTTTTTATTTGAAATTTTTGTTTGTTGCAAGATATTTCGCATAAGAACGTGTACCCCCGCCAAACTGTTCCTGTACCCCTGGGGTTACGCTTACCACACTTTGGGAAACACTGTTCTAGACGAATATATATCAACTTATTTTGTGAACCGAAATCAGAATTTGATTTATCTGCTTCTCTTCGAATAGACAATCTTGATTTTGATGACACTGTCGATGAGGGTATAATTAAAAACAATGTTTAAAAAATTTGAAAAAGTTTCCCAGAAATGTAATTTTAAAAAACACGGAATTAAGATTTCGAGTAGAGTTACATTCCTCTCGATGCCCTTCCTTGCTTCTTTAGTGCCGTGCATGAGAAGGGCTGACTAAGGCTCCCTTCACACTCGAGGGAATAAAATTCTAAACTGCATGAAAGGACTGTAAAGTCTTGAGAATTTTTTTATTTATTTGAAAGTAATAAATAAGAGCACGTAATCCAACTGTTGCTTTTTGGAATCAGAATAAGACCTAAAAGAATCAACCAATTCGAAGATAAGAATCGACGTAAGTTCGCAGTCACATGATATGCGTTCATAGAAATAATGTGTAAAATAAACATCGATAGACTTCAATATCCTGTTTCTTTTAACTTTCGATATCATTTCCACGAAGTTCTATTTTTTATTTTCACAAATATGTGAAACTATAAAGAAATTTTACTCATTTTGATCTGCCTAACAATTTTTTGGAACTTTAGAACGAAAATGTAATTAATGTGGAGTGTTTTAAGAAAAAGACTAAAACTTTATTGGCGGAATTCTTTCCATAACTGTTCCGCAGTGGACTGATCATAAAGGCACGGTTCACTGCAGAGCATCGAAGTCAAGCATCACTGGCTGCGGTCAGTGTGCGGGTGGGTGACACTTGGATCAGTCTGCGTAGGGACAGAGCAGAGGGTGTGCTGTATTGGTCCTCATTAAACTGTTCTACCGTAAAGTGCTCTACTTCACGTGCAGGTCGTCGGACTACCGAAGCGGGGTGCTATCCCCTCTGCAGAGGATCAAAATTGTGGTGGCATGTCTTCAAAGTATCCTCTGTGATGTTTCCCAGACCGTCGCCAATAGCCCATTGTACAGCTCTAGTATGACGTAAATAAACCTACTTACTTACCTACTACTCCATAACTTGCTAACAGATATCCATATTTCTCCGTGCTCAAAAAATTGATAGGAATGACCATAATATAGATTGATGTTTCTGCACTACTTGGGAAATTGGTTTCGTATGAAATAAATTAATAAACAGGAATTAATTGAAAACTTTTCACGAAATCACGTTATCTGTGGATGCCTTGCAATGTTGTCACCTGGATGCTTCATTGCCTTCCAGATTCTTCTGCGTTCTCAATGTCGATCTATATCAATCAAGTTATCTAACAATATCTCTGTGCTACTTTTGGGTTAGGAGTCTAGCATTTCCTAGCATGGTAGTATTATCTGGTTTAACTATTAGAATTTTACCCACTTGTTTAATTGTCAATATTAATTTTGAAAGCATTTAAAAAATAATAAAACACATATCGGAGGATAAAATAATTTTGGTGATATTTAAATCGAACGAAAAAAAAGAAAGAATAATCATTGCGTCAATGCAGTGGCTTAAATAACACCCCGAAACCTCCTCGGTGCAGTGGGGGAGGAGGGGGGGGCACGAGGAAATATTTTATTTTCGAAAAGTATCAGTTTGGTATTTTTCAGTTTTAATCGAATTTTAACATTTAAAAGAATTTAATTTCATGCAAATATTTTATTATATATATATATTATTATATATATATATATATGCANTGGCACGGAGAGATTGTTTTAATGTATGCACGTAGCGCTCTGCTTGTCCATTGCTGGATGGTTTGAAAGGGGCGCATGTCTTATGCTTAATGCCATTGCTTCGTATAAATGTTTGGAACTCTTGTGAAGTAAACTGTGTGCCGTTGTCGGAAACTAACACTACAGGTAGTCCAAAACGTGAAAAGCAATCTCGGAGGCATTCAATTGTCTTGAATGAGTTGGCTGTCTTCATGGGGTAAACTTCAAGCCATTTTGAATGTGCGTCAACAATAAGTAGAAACATTCGCTCAAATATAGGTCCTGCGAAATCAATGTGCACTCTTTCCCATGGTGCACTGGGATATTCCCAATGATGAACTTTTGCTTTTGCTGGATCCGTTTGGGAAACATTCCTGAGGATGATCCGAAGACATGTCATCGCAATTTTGATCCTCTGCAGAGGATACATCTCCCCTGCTTTGGTAGCCTAACTACCTGCGCGTGAAGTCGATCACTTTACAGTAGAACAGTTTAACGAGGACCGATACCGCACACCCTCGATCCTTAAGCAGGCTGATCAAAGTGGTCACCCACTCGCTGACTGACCACAGCCAGTGATGCGTGTACTAAGATGAAAGAAAAAATTTAATTGAAATATTGTTAAAGAATCATTTTACCCTCATAAATGTAAAAGAATAGAAGGATAATCGTTTGGATCTGGAAACGCTTGTTCCTTGAAAATACATGAAATCTGAATGAAGTTTGAAGCCCCATGCTCCTAAACTGAAAAAATCGGTCCTCTTCGGACAGCGGGTAAATGTCAAATGAGAGAGAAAAATACGACATAAATTTATAAAACTCAAAAATAATGCAAAAGCGACAAAAAAGGCTGAAGTAGATAAATCTTGGAAGAACGATATAACGATAACGATGGTAACTCTTCTATATCGTTAAGAAATTTTCGCGAATATCTCAGTCTTTAATGAGGAAGAAACAGGCTACCGGAGAAAACGTAAACAATCACCGCTCCTTACTCCCTCTTTATGATAGCTTTATTGAAAGTCTGTGTTCCAGTTTCTGTGTATAGATTTCATTCAATATTTAAATCAGTAAGGAGAATAAATTTTTCTTTCAAAAAAAGCCGGGCAAATATGTCTTTTATTTATCCGGATGCGAAAAGAGACGGAACAACTGAGGATCACCATGGAGTAAAGGTATGCAATTTATTTTTAATCAATTTTATTTTACTAATGTGGGATTTAAATATGACCACACTTAGAAATAGATCATCATATATTTAGTTACAATTTAAATATCTAAAAGTTTTGTTTGGCACAGCAACTTAAAGTTTTTGCACCAGTTTCAGTAAATATTCTTAATAATTACGTAACTATACATCTTTTCTTCTTATATTAATCATTCATCTAATTTTCTTTTTAAATTGTCAAGACTTAATGTTTTAAAACTTAATTGTTACCTCTTTTAAATATATTTGTAAATTAAATAAATATATTTACTTTTTTGTGTATATTTTTTTTTAAAATCAGAATTGAAAATGTGTCAATATTTCCGTAAAGGGGGAAACATTTCCGATTGATATACACTAAAATACTCGACATCTGAGCCGAAATAAAAAAAAAAGAAAACATCACAGAAAGAGATCAATAAGAAAGCTATAGCTTCCCAGGTCGAACCTCTAAATATTTTTTTTTTCCTTTTAATTTGCAAGTTAAAAATTTGTTTTGCACCCTGGCAATTGCAGTTAGAGTGACAGATCAGAAAGCAGAAATATCCTTGACAGTTTTTTACCAGGACTCGTATGTGTTATTAAAATCTATTAAAAGTTTTAATGCTTGATTTTAACGTTTTGTCGACCAATCGAATTACACCTGAGTATAAGCTTGCACTTTTTTTTAACAGCTTCAACTAACTATTTCTAAACAGGGAGACCTTCCTGATTGGTTAGCAAAAATAAAATTTCATCTATTTACAGGTTATTGATCCGTATAGATGGCTTGAAGATCCTGATGCAGATGAAACCAAAGAATTTGTGAAAGCTCAAAATGATATAACAGTTCCTTATTTAGAAAATTGTCCAGTTAGAGAGAAGCTTAAAGAGCGGTAAATTTTTAAAATTTTTTTGCATTGCACTAATATTTATATAAAACATAACTGTATTCAAGTAATAATAAATTTTATGTAACAAAGCAATCTAATAAGTCCAGTGTTTTCATTTCAGAAATAAATGGGAGAGAATTTCTCACCCTTTCTCAAAAACAGGGTGAGATTTCAAAAAGTTAAGTGAGATTTTCAAAAACTAAAGAAACACGAATAGACTTGCAAAAAAAATATTTCTTTAATTATAATACATTTTTAACGTCTTCTAATTTCTAAACCATTGAATGTTTTTGCTGCATTATCATATGGAAAATGTTCTATATCTACTTTTTCATCAGTTATTCTCATTAGTTTGCTCAAATGCTCACCAGTCAATCTGTTACAATATTTTGTGTTAATTCGGTTTTGGGTGCTAAATGACCTTGCAACAGATGCTGAACTATTTGAAATCACTAATTAAATTTGTAGCATTGTGCTCACACTTTCCTATCTTCTACATCTACCTGCATAGGCTTTTCAATTATTTCTGTTATAGAATAGTGAAGTTCGTTGAAGTTATTTCCATGTTTATACTTCTTGTTAGGTCTTCCAGCATAGTTTTCATAGATTCAAAATTTCAGGTGATATAAAGTTATTAACCATGTTAGTTACAATTGGTTGTTATAACTGTAATTTATTATTTTTACCTTGCTTAGTCTTTTTTAATTTTAACATATATCTTGAACTTCTTTTTTGTCGTATTTAAATAAGTTTTAATAAAAACTAATTGTATAAGAACATTCTAAGATAAATGTTAGTAAAATAATGGTATAATAGTAGCCTCAAAAGCAGAACCATTCTAAGATTTTTTTATGTTACTACTATTAGTATATATAGATATCGATATAGATCGATAAAGATATCGATATAGATATAGTATCAAGATATTTTAACAAATATCTTGAACTTCTTTTTTGTCGTATTTAAATAAGTTTTAATAAAAACTAATTGTATAAGAACATTATAAGATAAATTTTAGTAAAATAATGGTATATAGTAGCTTCAAAAGCAGAACCATTCTAAGATTTTTTTATGTTGCTACTATTAGTATAATGCTAATTTAGTTGAATGTATAAATATATATAATCCTAGGAACAAGCAGACTTGATAATGGAAAAACTGCATTAGCTTTAAATATTTTTAAGGTAGAAAAAATCCATATCACCTTAATAATTTTTGAATCTAGTGAAATTTATACATTTTCAATAACATACCAGAGGATTTAATTTTTAATTCTATTGGTATTTTTATGATATGTTATAGGTTTTAGGCTATATGAATAATTTTTTTATTGCATATTTTTTGCTGAATATATTGTAAAAATATTACAGAAGTGTATTTTCAGTAGTGTAGCAAGACTTCGTGGGTCCCAAATCAAACACAAAAAGTGGGCCCTATAATTCCTGGAAATCTGATACTTTTAATATAAATGAAATATTTTTTTAACTTCAAAGTTTTTTAAGGCCCTTTGTACTTGGGAGCCCTGGGCTTAACTATTGTTCACTTAGTAGTTGTTCATAAATAATGTTGCATATTTTTTCAATATTATGGACTCCTTCATTTTCTTAATCTCTAAGTATCTCAATTTACCTTACCCCTATGTCTTGCATCATGCTATTTTGCATTAACATATATACTAATGGTTCAGAAAGTTGTTATGGATCGACGGGAAAATTTCCGTATTGTGATCTATGTCAAAATAATTCTCACGTCTTGGCAACTTCCAGGCAGTGGCGTGCAAGAAATTAAAAAAAAAAAATAAAGAAATACAAAAGAAAAACATCACTGAATGAGATCTATTCAAAGGCAGAACTAGTAGCTACTTCCATGTAAACCACTACATGTTTATAATTTTTTTTAAATTTGCAAGTTTAAAATCTATTCAGTTCCTTGGTGATGGTAGTTGGCACAACATCTCACACCCTGGAAATATCCACAATCATGTAAATTTAGTTTTTAAACTTAATATATTTTTGTTTTAAGTTTATTTTTAATTTATTTTATACTACCCCTTACCTCATGTCACAATATAATATATAAACATATGCTAGCAGTTTAGGAACAAAACCCATGTTATGCATCCTGCTTCAAATTTTATTTTTAAGCACTCATGTATTTTAATGATATTTGTGAGGCTAACAACAATAATGGTCAGATGTGGATTTATTTTGATGAAAAAAATTACAAAAACTAAATATATGAAAATATTTAATGTGCTGATTTTGAATGTTTCAGATTTAACCAAAATGTGTGATGTCACACTTCCTGCCACAAACTGTCACAATTTAAAAAATCCCTCTCTTCATCTAAATAAGACAAAATTTATAGATGACCCCTTAGGTTTTTTTGTTAAATAAAAGTTTAAAACGCTGATTTATATTTAAATGTAGAATAATTGAACAAAATATGTAGGTTAGAGAGGGGTAAAACTGGGTATACCTTGATATTGGCGAAATTAGTAGTATTATCTAGCAGGCAAACTCTGATTTACACTTAACTAGTCAAGAGGAAGGTCATTCAATGTTGGCATGATTATGATTGTATTTGATTAATGTGTGGCATCTCTGTAGATAAGTTACTATTCCAACTCTCAAAATTTTTTTTTTTTTTTAAAGCTATCATTATTTATTCATCATTACAAATTTTTGCTTATTATACGTTTACTAATGACTCATACCTTAACAAACAGTAAGAGTTTAGCCCGATAGGTCGCACTGTTCTATCCTCCGCTCATGGGCTAAAACCGTGTACTACCAGATCTTTTGCCCCACCCTACTGATGTGTGTCTATGTGGGGCCCATAAGAACTGCAGTTCAGCGGAAGAAGATAACAACACACAACAAGACTGAACAAAAGTTTTATGTATATCAGGACAAAATTTACTTATTCTGAAAGTTCTAAATGCTTGAAGACCCTTTATATCAAATTATAGTTTTTTTTTTATATAGATACAAAGAAATTCTCTGCCATTTTTTTTTGAAAAATATTAATAAACATGACATTTTTGTAAGGAATTTTGGTTGAGCTCTCAGTCACCCTGGGCCTTGGGACAATTGTCGCTCTTTCCCTCCCCCTCTTGAATAAGGCTTAGACCTAGATCAGATATAAAATACGGGCATAATTGTCTTAAATTGTTATATAAAATGTGTGTTACTTTTTGAATGAAATTCTAGTATTTCTAAATTTCCCATACAGTTAACATGTGAAAAAGTTAAACCATCCAGTTTGACCCCACTAGTGGAGTCAAACTGGATGGTTCTTCTTCAATTCATTCTTAAAAAAAGTAGTCCATCTATGACTTTTTGAGAATGATGTATTGTATACAACTAAACAATGAATATTTTGGTTAAATCAGGCAGTTTTTAAGACAAACAGTTTCTAAGTCAAACAGTTTATTTCATACAGGCCTTTGAATCTTAGCTGCCCGGCATTACCCCCTGTTCCCCTATATAAATTTTCCCCCAAATCCTATTTTTATATTGAATATTTAATTTTATATTTTCTTTTAAAATAATTAAATACCTTATAAACTTTTATTAAAAGTAAAATGTAATAAACTGTAATGAAGTTTTAGACTCTTTGTTATAATTTATGTTTTTATTGAGATGCATACTAATACACTGTGCAAGCTGTTTTGCATTTTAAAAAAGAACTGATTTGTACTTTTCTTTCAGAATTAAGAGTATGTGGAACTTTCCTAAATATAGCTGTCCATTCAAGGAAGGGGAGAATTATTATTATTTTTATAACACTGGATTGCAGAACCAAAGGTAATTTTATTTATTGTCTTTATTTATTAAGTCCTTGGTAAGGCTACTTTGTAGTGATAAGATTTAAAGAAAAATACCAATCGTATTTATTACAAATGTACATGCTGATCATACAAGATCAGTAGTGGATTTTTGTAGAAGTTTTTTAAACAACTTCTCCAAATAAACATCATTTATTTGAAAACGAAGAAAAGAAGTATCTGGCTATCTTGTTACCCAATTTTCCTGAATTTCCTAATGCTTGTTAAGGTAATAAAAAATAAAATAAAAATTCTTCAAAAAAACAACAGTTGCAAACATTTTTCTACCAGTTTAATTAAATTATTATTATTATTTTTTTTCAGTATTAAGTTATAACATAACTACTAACTATGCTTTGTTCATATTAATTTAAGAAAAGTTTGATTCAATTTTCTAATAAAATATATATTAACATCATGAATAAACAATTATTATTAGTTGTATTTTTTAAAACTAATTCAGAAAATAATTTCATCTAAAATATATGGTAAATAACTTAATTCAAATATTCAATAAAAACTGGATTTCACTTTTTTCACTGGGTTAGCGCCTTTTCAATTTTCATGTTTTTTTTTATTTATAGTTTTGAATGATATTTAAAAAAAAATTTGCTATCAAGTTATCTAGGGGTGCTATCACATTTATTCAATATCCATAAAAGTACCCTTATTAATAAAAAAAATAATAATAATTGAGTTGCATTTCTTAAATAAAGTTTTTATAAACTGATATTTCCCTTTTTATTTTACAAAGATCATTGAGCAACTATTGTCTTTTCAGTGTTTTATATAAGCAGAAGACATTAGAAAGTGAACCAGAAATATTTTTGGATCCAAATGAAATGTCCAAAGAAGGATTGATAAGCATACCTTTCTATGAATTTTCAGAAAATGGTGAATATCTAGCTTATGGAATCAGTGAAAGTGGTTCAGATTGGCAAAAGATAAAGGTTGTTTTCATTATACTAAAATCTTAGCGTTGATGAAATATGTTTAATGTATATTTGTATTTCTCATTGAATTTTTTATCAAATTATAGATAAAGAAGGTATCTAATGGTGAAGAATTTCCAGAGACAATAGAGAAAGTAAAGTTTTCAGCTCTTTCATGGACACATGATAATAAAGGATTTTTTTATTCAGTAAGTTAAGATAGTCTATTATGTTATTATTTATATTATTACTTTTATCATGCATTCTTGATTGTATTTATTTTCAGTTGTCTGATTATTTCTGGTAGTTAAATATAACTTACTTTTTTTAAATTTGATTTTCAGGAACTATTTGATCAGTTTTGTTCAAATTTTGTATTTTTACCTTATAAAATTTCATTCTTTAAAATTATGTACAAATTTATATACCTTTCATATCAAATTTTTTTCGTCTATTAAATAATTATTAAGAAGTATTTTTTGCGAAGAATTATCAATTTGTGAAATTAGCTTTTCCTAATATGAGGGATGAAAGACTTCGGCGAAAAAGCGGAAATCCACTTTTTTCTCCCAATTTTTAAAATTTCCGAACATTTTCTAAAAACTAAATTTTTTGGGGAGTCCAATACGAGAAACCCAAGCCGTCCGAACGATAGTCGAACTTGGAACAAACTTTTTCGCTCTGCAGTAGCCTCCTGAGAAAATAATCTTCAGACGAAAGTGGGTGGAGCTTTGATAACCTCGGCTTCCGCTGTAGAGTGGAAAGGAGTCTAAAGTAGTTTCGTTTTGACCTCCAATATTCTATTTTTTTTTGGTCTGATTTTCGGAATTTTAAATATTAGGAACTGCTCCGGAATCTGCTAAAATCGCGATTCTTAATCAGACGATTTTAATATCTAACAACGATTTTCGTATTTAACTGATTTAGAAGTTACTTGTTGCGATTTTTTTATGTGATTTAAAAATTAGTACTAGCAATTCCTATTCACTCAATTCAAAAATCCAATATCGTGATTTGTATTCCCGCGAGTTTGAATTCCAACGTCGCAATTCGTATTCACGCTTTTTTAAATCCAATATTGACATTCGTTATCACGCAGTTGTAATAGCAGACATCGATTTTCGTATTTGTACAGTATTTAAAAATTACTCATTGTGATTCGAATTCACATGATCTAACAATTATGCATCGGGATTCTTATTTACGCTATTTAAAAATAAAATTCAATATCGCAATTTGTATTTTCATGTTTTTAAAATCTAACAGCGTGATTCATGTTCACGCGATTTTAAGATCCAAATTCACGATTTATGTTCACGCGATTTTAAAATCCGAAATCGCGATTAATATTCAAATCCAAAATCGTGATCCTATTCACGCCATTTTAAAATCCATTATTGCGATTCATATTCACGCGATTTTTAAATCCAAAGTCATGATTCCTATTCACGCGATTTTAAAATCCATTATCGCGTTTCATATTCACGTGATTTTAAAATCCATTATCGTGTTTCATATTCACGTGATTCTAAAATCCAAAATAACGATTCATATTTACGCTATTTTAAAATCAAATATCGTGATTCATATTCACGCAATTTTAAAATCTAATATTTCGGTTCGTTATCACGCAGTTGATATATCAGGCATCGTTTTTCGTATTTGTACGCTATTTAAAAATTATGCATCGTGATTCTTATTTACGCGACTTAAAAATTCAATATTGCAATTTGCATTTTCGTTTTTTTAAAAATCCAACAGCGCGATTCATATTCACACGATTTTAAGATATAATATCGTGGTTCCTATTCACGCGATTTTAAAATCCAAAATCGCAATTCATATTAACGTGATTTTAAAATCCAATATCGTGATTCATATTCAAACGGTTTTAAAATCCAATATCGTGATTCATATTCAAGCGGTTTTAAAATCCAATATCGCGATTAATATTCACGCAATTTTAAAATCCAATATCGCGATTCTTGAAAGAAGTAGAATAAGTTTTCTCTTGAATTAGTTACTGTAAAGATGTGATATTTTTCATTAGTAAGTAATTTAATAGTCGTGACTTCCTAGAATTGCTTAATTTTCTTTAATATAGTAGTGGTCAAAATTTTAAAATTATATTTAAGAAAATTTAAAGTTAACTGTCTAAATTTATCTGTCACTTTAAATATTATAAAAAATCTCCCGGCATAGTTAAAAGTTACTTTTATATATGTCATCAATATCATATAGAACACCCCCCCCCTCCTTCCAGTGATCTGCATTGTAAAAGTTCAGCTTTTTTTTTATTTTTGTCCACTTTCATGCCTGTAATATGTTGTACCTCTTAATTCCATGGATAATTGAGAGTTAGCCATATTTGGGTTCTTAAAACCCCTACATTTAATATAGAATTAATTGCTATTTATGTAAATGTCCTCTCCTATTCATAGGGATATCCAGATGCTGAAAACGGTGTTGATGGAACTGAAACCACTTCTTTGGAAAACCATAAATTAATTTATCATAAGATTGGAACAGATCAATCTCAAGATGTTGTTTGTGTTGAGTTTCCTGAGCACCCTAAATGGATGACGTAGGTGTTTTCAATCTTATATTAATGAAATGATTACTGTTTGAATATGATTACTGTTTGTATGATAAGATGTTAGATTTAATAGATAGTATTTGATTATAATAGTTTCAAATGTTAGGTGGTCATAACATTCGTTATTTTGCAGTCTTCTTAATATTAACTAGTCTTTAAATATAAATTTATAGAAAAAAAGCTAACATCTTTATTTCTTTATTGTTATTTTTAAAATATTTTGCTTTCTAAAAGGTTTCCTATTGATTTTAAGTTTGACTTAAAATAATGTGTTTTTTATCTTTTTTTTTTATGTAAAAAGTTGGAAAAAAAATCTATAACTTAGTATTTTTCGAGTTGAAGATGTAAAGCTGATTTATTTTTGTCAATATCCTGATGTAAAAATAGTTGTTAAGGATTAAGTTTTTAAAAATTTTTTTGTAGTCTGATGATATGTACTTTTGAATGTCTTTTTTGCTTTTTTTTTACAATACATATAATAGACTTTATTTTTTTCCAATTATTATTCGAAATAATTATTAATATGTTAATATTAATAATTATTTCCAATTATTATTAATATTAACATTTATTATTCGGGTATCAGAAGGGCAGACATGTTGTCCACTCTTTTAGGAGCACCATATTAGGTGGGGCTACTTTGATTCCACGATAAGAAGTACAGATAGTACTGAGAGAGAAGAAGGAAATAACATGAATAATAAGGGCATTGTGTTGAGGATTCCCAAAAAGCTCTTTACCCGTAAGTCTTAGGATCTCAAAATAAGCCTCTGTGTACAATTCAAAAATTTTTTTCCTAGTGTGTGCTTTAACCGTAAAGCAGATAATTCACTCTCATATATCAGAAGTAACAAGATGAAAACCATTGATTGTAATATTTTTGACTTTTTCTTAGTGAGTTCTGATTTTAAACTTTTTCTTTTCTTTATTTTAGTTCTGCATCTGTTAGTCACTGTGGCCAATATGCTGTTTGCAGTGTTGCAGAAACTTGTAAAAACAATATGGTTTACATATGTGATTTAAAGACTCTCCCTAATGGAATATCTGGTAAGTTCTGTGAAAACAAGATAAAAATTTCACAATTTGTGAAAGTGTGACTAATGTATTGGGGCTATTTATTAAAAATTTTTACTGTTAAATCAGCCTGTTTTACAAACTGTTATCTTTTATTTCTATGAAATTTGAAGGTTTTATGGAGAATAATCAAAAGTAATTCTTGAAATTTATCCTTTATGAATTATTTTTATTAAATTTAAATAATGTTTATAAATTTAATAATTATAAAAATAATTACTTTATAATTTACTTAAATTTTTATGAATTTTTAAGTATCACAATCAAAAGTGTACAATACCTGAGTCAGTATTTGTATTTGTCTCTATGAATGCTGACAAAACAACAGTACTAAGAAGTGCTAACAACAGTGCTAGCATTGCTAACTGTGCAATATATATAGACACATGTACAATGAAAAGTCTTGTACCTTACACGATAGGGACTTTTGTAAAACCTAAAAGTAGATTTTTTTCAGATAATAGGACTTAAAGGTAGAAGCTTATGTATTCAATAAAAAAAATTAATATAAATTTTGATGCAACATTTTGTTATTATGCAAATGAGCTCTTTTAATTATAAATTTTATGTTGACTTTTTTTTTATATTTAATTTTATAATGAAGTAAAAAGGTTCAGTGTTGTATAATTTTAAATTTATTACTTTTATCTAAATGTTATTTTTTTTTTAATTCATGCAGAATTTCATTAATGTTATATGCTTATATAGAATTTTGTATATGAACCTTAAAATTGCACTAATTTGAATTTTGTGAATGCTAAATGTACATACATATTTCTTTTGTTTTATTTTTCGATTACTAATACTAGTTTGGAAAATTAGCACCCTCTGTTTCAGAGACTAATAATGAATGAGGGTTTGTGATTTGCTTATTTTTGATGATAGAGAGAGAAAGAGAGTAAAAGCAATGCTTATATAAAACACGAAATTTTTTCTATCTGGGAAAAAAATCACTTTAAAGTTATAATAAATAAATTTTGAAAGAAAAAGGTTTACCTTAGCATAAGTTTTACCTTCGGATAGTTTGCTAATGAGAAAGGGCTTACATATTTTTAAAAGTATAATTATATAATTATTGAACTGACATTTATGAGAATTTTTGATTTTAAAACAATATTTTGAACTCTATAATTACAAGCTGAGAATGGTTAAACTAAAGAATAAAACTCAAACTTTGTTTAAGGAAGTATTAATTATTATGAAAGTAACTATATTGTTTTCTTATTTTTGTGGTAACTAATTAAAAAATTGTTGTAGCTATTGAGTATATTGATTGCTTATGTTGAAATTAATATTTTAAAACTTATAAGCTATCTATTTGACTTATAATTGCATACATATTAGATCATGTTTCAATTCCTTTTCTAACATTGTGCAATAATGTATTGGATTTACTGTAAGAGCATTATATTAGATATTTTGAATAAAAATATGACTGATAAATATTTAAGAAAACAAAAATCTAAAACATCATCAGTGCTAAATTTTTATAATAGTTACTTACATTTCAGGTCTTCTACCTTTAAAATGTATAATTGATAATATGGAAGCTGAATATAGTTATGTTACAAATGAAGGAACAACTTTTACTTTTAGAACTGATAGAAAGAGTCCCATGTATAGATTAGTTAACATCGACTTCAATAATACCAGTGAAGTAAGTTTTAAGTGAGCTCTTATATTTTAAAAAAATTTCACTTGTTGCAAGTATGAAATGTGTTTTAGTGTACATTATTAAAAGAATGACATTTTTTATTTCGGTAATTTACCAACACCTAATTTTGATACCTAATTTATACCTAACCTATACCTAATTTAGATGTTTTTGTTGTAATCTTTTCTCTTAAATTTTAACAGTTTGTTACTGCCTTTAGTCTTGAGTTTTTTTACATGGGAATTTTTTTTTCCTTAATTTTTTTAAAAATCAATTTCATTAGATTTCATTGAAGATTAATTCAATAATTTGAATTAATATTCTTGAATTAATCTTTAAATTAAAAGAGTTGGCTCTGTTTGAACTTTTATAATCACATCTAATATTGCAAAAATTATGAATATCTGAAATTATTATTTTTATTTAACTAGTATTTATAATTTCTTTAATTAGTAAATAACTGTAAATTGAGTACAGTAACATGCTCAAATTGAAATTTAGGTTGTGTATTTTTTTCAAAAGTGCAGAATGCGTTTGAAAATATTTGTTTATTTATTTAAAACTTTATTTCAAAGGACAATTGGAAGGATTTAATGCCTGAACACCCAAAATATGTTTTAGAATGGGCAGAATGTGTTGATAACGATAAGCTTTTTGTGTGCTACATTGAAGATGTAAAAGTAGGTATAATGATATATTTAAATTTATAATGTGTTTTTATTTTCAGGTTTTCTTCTTAATTATTCAAAGCATATTTATAATGAAATTTTTATTCCTATTTTACATGTTTGAAGATTTTTTAAACTTTCAATGTTTTTAAAATCAATATTGTTATAAATATTGTTATATCTTGTTTTAACTGAAAGTATTGAAATTTTTTTTATTATAACAATGATTTTTTTACTCTTCTAACTAATTTGCATAGGAATAAGGTATTAAATGTGTTATTGCTATAACATGAGTAATCCATTTTAATTAAGTTAAAGATAAGAAAAAAGCGCAGTTTGTTGACAGTTTCCAATAGTGTGAGCAAAATATTCAAGTGCTCCATATTCTTAAAATTCAAACTATTTTCAAACGTTTAAAAGTAGCAGTTTTGATTTTAAAATATGTGTATAGGTGTAAAATAAAAAACCAGTTAGATTATTATTCTAAAAAAAGGTAATAATTGTCCATTGAGCATTTTGAATTGTGTTATTAATTTTCTTTCATAATGTAGTTAATGAAGTTGAAATAAGAATTGATCAATAAGTTTTGCATAAGTGGATAAAATTATTTTTCACTTGATTATAAGACCTAAGATAAAATTATTATAAGACCTGTATATAACTTTCATGAGAGTAGGAAATTAAATCTTTAACTTATCAATGCTGCAAGTTATGTTATTTTTAATTTTGCTTCATTAAAACCTGGGCAGTTTTAGGAATTAGGGAAACAATAAATGTTGCAATATAAAATTGAAAATCCTAGTTTATGCTTCCATTACCAAATATCAGAATAAATTTGTTACCTCATTCATCTCTACAATGTTTGAGCAAAGATTACTTGTCTCTCTCTAAATAATCAAGAACTTACATTTGAATCATTGTTTATTTAAGTAATTTTATGTATGATTAAAAAAAAATTACAATTTTACAGTATAATTTACGGAATAAGTTGATTAATACTAATATTTATCTTTGAAAAGTGAAATTCATCAAGTTTAGCTAGGCAATTACTTTCTGCAATTCATTAGGAAAAAAAAAGTTTATTAGTCATTTTTTAAAATCTTGCTATTTCAAGTAAATGAATAAATTTGAACTGAGTTTTCTGTTACAATAAAATAAATCAACTTGATAGATTACATATAAATTGAGTCTAAGATATTATAATGGTGATGCTACCAGCTCACAGAATCAAAATAGGAAATTAACTAAATTTATTAATCTATACAAATTAACTATTGATTTAATTTGGAGCATTTTCCAGGCCATGAATGCATATTCCGAAACAACACAATGGACTAAGATTCTTGATTTAAACAAAGCTTTGTTGCTGTACTCTTGTCGGCATGTCCTGTCTTACTTTCTAATATATAATTAAAAGGATTTCGTATTATAGTTAAAAAAATTTTTTTATGCATATGATTATTTTTAGGATTGAACCCATTTTTTTAAACCATATCTCATAATTGAAACATAATGTTCTAATTTATTTTTTGTAATAGTTCATAAGTTGCCGGGAATAAACCACAAATAGCTACTTGAATCATTATCTAGTAATTGTTAAAAGAATGGAAATCTTTTCTTCTTTGTTGTTTTTTTGTTAAAATAATGTGGCAAAATAAGACATTTTGAATGTGAACCTGAAAAAAAAAAGAAAAGGAAGAGGAAGAAATGATACATTGCAGCACATTTCTTAATTTATTTTACATATTGTTTATTTAGTCTGAATTTTATAATTCAAAAGTATTTTTGGATTAATTATACTAAAATAAATTGGTGCTCTTCTTTAAATCGATATCAGAATTTCAACTTGCTATTTCATTCTCACTGAAAGTGTTAGTGTTGAAGTATAAGACTTAGAAAAACTTCATTGAATTTATCATAATATTCTATATTCATAGATGTTTGATTTAATATTATTTTAATTGATGAATGTGTATTCAATTTTATTTCAGTAAAATTTAATTATAATTCTTTATTTTAAGAAGGTAAGTCTTACATGATGATTTTTTTTATTGAACTAAATGCAATGCAGAGAATATAATGCTCTCTGAGCAGAGAGATTGTGTATAAGTGAAAAATGTAATTATGGTGATTTTTTTTACGATTTATTTATTCTTGTTTTTTTTGCTTAGAGTCAACTACATTTACATGATCTGAAAACAGGAAAATTCATTCACAATTTTCCGTTAGAAGTTGGAACCATCACAGGCTGCTCTGGAAAGAAAAAGCTGAGCGAGGTATTTGGTTTAAATAATCTAAAAAATATACGAATAAAAAGAAATCAATGCTTCTTTTCTAAATAAGGAATTTTTCATATGTAATTAGTACAAATCTGTATTAAAAAACAATTTGGAATAAATTCATCTATATAATTAGTTTTAATTGATCCAAATCAAATGTATGCTTAAAATTCACACAGTAGAGCGCTGATTATACGAACGCTGATAATGATAGTTTTAAATTCATAAAATTAAAATTCTTACACAATTTATTACATATTTTTGTGTATTTCATTTAATGTTACTAAAAATTTGATAATATTTTAAATTAAACTATGGAAATTTCAATTGTTATATTGCATTTAAATGTTTATCTTTATTTTTGCTGTTTAAATTTATCTCACTAATTCACTAATTTCTTTTAGGTTTTCTTTCGATTTGTCTCTTTCTTGACTCCTGGAATTATTTATCGTTGTGAATTAAAAGAAGATTTAAATCACAAGGTAGGAAATTTCAACATCAACTTAAACTTTTTCCTGATTTTATTTTATATGTGTTAGTCCTCGTTAAACCTTGTTTTTATTTTTTGTCAAAATTAAATTGAACTTTTTCCTGATTTTATTTGTGTGTTATTTATCATTCAACTTTTTTTTATTTTTGTGAAAATTAAAATGTGAACTTTTTTCTGATTTTATTTAATGTGTATTATTAATCATTTTACTTTTTTTTTTGCAAAAGTTAAAAGTCAGATGTTTTTTGAAATTTTTTTTTTAATTCAAAAGAAACTTTTAAAAATTCTATTTTTAATTTTACATAGTTTTTAATTTAATTATTTTTAATTTTACATAATACAGGACATAATAAAATATGCTGTCATGATATTTTTAAAAATATTTTTAAATAAATGTTTTAATTAAAAAAATATTTTGAAAATAGTAAAGTAGCAAAAGAGGTATCTTTTTTTATCACATTAATTTATATTATTGTTTAATTTTTTTAGGAGTTTAGAACAATTAAAGTTGAAGGTTTTGATGCCTCAAAGTTTCAGACTACCCAAGTGTTTTATCCAAGCAAAGATGGTACAAAAATTCCAATGTTTATCATTCATTCTAAGGTAGTTTAAAAGCTTGTGATTTTTTTTAAACTTCTTTTGCTCATTTTTACATTTTTGCTAAAAACTGTGATTTGTACTGAAAAATAATTTATAAACCAGTGTCATTGATATTATTCATTGATGTAAACATTTTCTTGAATTTTACTGCTGAATGCTTAAAAGCAACTGTTTAACAAAAAGAAAACCATAAAACTCAATTGCTTCTGCTACGCTGTTCATTCTACTTGTGGGCTCTAAGCTTCAATCATCTCTTATAATTTTCTTCAGGTAATATCACTTAAAAAAAATATTATTGGAAATACATTTTGCATTATTAGTTTTCTCTAATAATTCATTGTTTTACAATAATAATTTTTTGAAAAAACTGTTTAAATTTTAATATGATATCAAGTATTGTAACGTATTAAATTTTTAATGAGTTAAAAATTTAAAAAAAGAAAGCAAAATTAGAATTAGAAAGTTTTGAATAATTTTACAATCTCTTCTGTTGCCATAGCAGTAAAACCATTTTTGAATTGTTATATTTTGCGTGTTTGAATACTTAATATATGTATATGTTACGGCCAAAGCCCGAAGTCCGGCCACTTCGCGAATTGGCCATGCCTCTCGGCCAAAGTGCGATGTAATTGAAACGATCAGTGAATATTTTACTTTGGCTGACCATTTCAGGAAGTGGCCACGATGTTCCGCCCAAAAGACGATGTGCTCGTTCAAGAATGCCTGGTAGGCGCCCCATTTTACTACTTTTTTAATATCTTTTGTATTTCTAATAACTATTACTTTACAGAAAAAAAAATTTAAGTGGTATGTTTTTTCACATACCGGGTGGTACAGTGGAACCACAATTTTTTATTATTTGTTTTATTAAAAAGTTAATTTGCTAATATTGCCCCTTTTGTTTTCTTTTTTAATTTAAAAATATAAAAATATAGACAAGTTTTTAAATTAAAATTTAAAAAATTAAATTTTTTACTTTGTCTCAAATGGCCACATCCCACAGCAGTTAGCTGCGGGTACCGCAGCTTGTAATTTTTAAGGAATGAAGTTATACAGAGCCACTAATACGTGCCAAAGAATTTTTCTTCCAACTTTGGTTGTTCCTCCCATGCCACTTCACAATCTGGCCGGCCAATTCCCAAAATGAAGAAAAGATCGGACATTGACCAGCCAATTTACAGCGTTCTTAACCATTATCAAACGCGATTTGGCTGGCCAAATTCAGGCTTTGGCCGTAACATATATATATATATATATAATGTGTGTGTAAACAAATTTTTTCTCATTTTAGGATTTTGTTAGAGATGGCACTGCTCCAGCATTTCTGTATGGCTATGGAGGTTTCAATATCAGCTTGTTACCTCATTTTAGTGTCACCAGGTTAATATTTTCTCAAAATTTCAAAGGTGTTCTTGCTTTACCAAATCTCAGAGGAGGAGGGTGAGTTTTTCTCTTACTTGTTACTCTTTATGTATTTGCACTTTTGTTTTATTACTATTCATGTACTCTTTTTTTTCTTCTTTGGCGAGACTGTTGTTGTTTTAGCATATGAAACATGCCTTTGTTAACCTTCTGATAGTTTCACAAAATTAAGCAAATTTATAAGTTGTGTTTATTATAAAGTACTCTAATATTTCTTTTTTGCTGTATCCCTGCAGAAATGTACAGTTAAAATAATGAATACAAAAGAATTATTTCAGATTGTAAAGCAATATTAGGAGTTAACTTTCTGCAGTGTTGCTACATAATATTTTTGGCTCTAGTTTGTATGGTAACCTAAAATTAAATTCAAGCTTAAGCAAGATTTATCCAAGCAAAATGATTCATTTTTAAATTTTAGTACAATAAGAAGTTTAAGCATCTTTTAAGTACTAATAACTTTTAATTTTGATATAACAATATTTTGTCATCAAGGAACTAAAATGATCCTGTAGCAATTTTCAGGGTTGGTATTTAGAGCGAACAGGAAGCAAAACCTTCTAGTATTTAATAATGTAAACATTAAAATTTTTTAAGTTATGTCTTAAAGATAATAGAGTTGTGTAGCTTTAAGAGTTTTTTTTATACCTGATTTATTTGCATATAATGTTATTTTTTTGGCTGAGATGTATATAAAAATCTATAGATAATCTAAAATTGTCATTATTTTCTTATTGTCATTACTTCTTCTTTGGCACCACAGCTAGTCATTATTTTTAATGGGTCAAAAAACAAAATTCTGTGATATTAGTAAAATTCAAGAATTCATGAAATTTTTCTAAAAATAAGTCATAAAACTCAACTTATATACTTACAATGAACATCAAAAAGTACAGATCACATACAAGAATACAGATGCAAGACAGAAGATAGATCGTAAAAATAAGTTAGCTTTAGATAAGGTTTTCAGAGTTATTATTATCATTTATAGTAACTGACATTTTATTTTACAGTGATTTTATTGCAAAATATTCTGCACAAATCTTTTAACTATTTTTGGCCATATTCATAGTATTGTTTGGCATTTTCCCCCTAAGATGCTGGTTTTGAATTTTTGTCAATTTTTACATGAAATACAAATTCTCTACTTATTCCTGGATCTGTTTAGGTTCAGAAATATAGGGTAGTCACTGTTAGCAAGCATTTAATTTTGAAATATACCTTTAAATTTTAATTTTGATTCTTCAAATACTTGTAAAATTTAATAAACATTTAGAATAAATTTCTCATTTCTTCAAGAAAAAATTTCTGTAATTCTATACTTTTTTGTTCTGGTTACAAACTTTATTAATTTCCTTTCATTATTCATTTGTTCATTTTCGTTTTAGAGAGTATGGTGAGAGTTGGCATTCTGCCGGAAAACTACTTAACAAGCAAAATGTGTTTGATGATTTCCAAGCTGCTGCGGAGTATTTGATTGAAAATAAATACACAAATTCAAAAAAGTGAGTAAATTCTTTTATCTCAAGGTTACTTTATTGATGTATATAAGTATTTTTTTTAAGCACGCTCATGCTTGATTCTTTAGATTTAGTTTTCTGGCTCAGGCTAATGATTAAGTTTAGCATTTCTTTATTTTTCATTTTACTTTTTAGGTTTTGTTTTACTAAGTGGTGATAAGTGATTTTTATTATCAATTTTTTCTCTCCTTCAGTCATCATTAGTTTGAATGGCAATTACTAATTTTGCCATTCCATTTGAAGGCTATACAGGAAGTTTCATCACAGTGGTTACAGAAAAAGCAGGCAGTGACTAAGAATTTTACAGCAACACATGTACATAAATGTCATTGTATCCGGCTTGGCGTGCTTCTCTCTTATGTATTAATTGTTCATCCATATTTGTACTAATACTTTTATTATCTAAATCATATTAATTTTATGTTTTCTAGTTCAGATCTTATAGCATTTTGATTTGGGGATAAACTTACAAAGGTTGCCAAAGTGGTTACCAATTCTATAAGTTTTCAAACCTGGACGTATTTAAATATATTTTTGGACATTAATTATTGAAAAACATAGAATTAAGGTAATTTATATTAATATAAATATCGGCTCACATGGTTAGCCAGTTCATCATGTGAAATCATTCCTAGCAGCGTAGAATGATATTTCTAGGTATAGGCTGCTGTGCAATTCTCAGTCCTCATGATGTGTCCTAGCACCCTTTCAAGTTTTTAACTGCTTCTCTGAAACATCTTGTATCGAATAATTTAAAGTCTAAAAAAATCATTTTGATTTTGGTACTTCAAAAATTAGTTGTAACTGAAACTGCAACTTAAATTTTTGTTATAAAAAATTTCTGAGGCTTTTAATTTTTGAGAAGCCATTGGTTTTCATGAACAAAAATTTTCTGTACTTTTGTTTAGTTTTATTATTGATCAATATCATCTTATATAGTCATTTATTTTGTTACGTGAATGTGAATTCTGTACATTGTAGATTAACTATAAATGGAGGTTCTAATGGAGGTTTGTTGATTGGTGCATGTATTAATCAAAGACCAGAGCTGTATGGATGTGCATTAGCTCACTGTGGGTATGTACTGAAAGTTATGTTTTTTTGCTCGTAATCGAAATGTTGCTGGCTGAAAAAAATGTACTCTTTAGTAAAGATGAAATACATTCTGGTAAAGAAAATCAATTTGATTTGTTTCAGAGTGATGGACATGCTGAGGTTTCATAAATTTACAATCGGCAGTGCTTGGATATCAGATTATGGCAATCCTGATGAAGAGAAAAATTTTCATAATTTACTTAAGTAAGTTTGAGGCTTCTCTCATTGTGTGATGTAAAATTTTTACTGTTTAAGGTTACTAATACATGTAAGCTTTTTTTTATCTCTAAATTTAAAAAAAAAGAAAAAAAAAACTTTAGATGTTTTTGTTTTATTATGAAAAATGAATTCAGTTACTTTTCAATGTCTAAATGAAAGGGCTTGTAATAAGAACAAAATTTTTTTTAAATGGAAATTTATTTTTTAACTAAGCAATAAATTTTTTTAATTCAATTAATATCAGCTATATACATAATTTTTTTTTTATTTGATTAAAATTTATTTATTTTTTTTATCTATTGAAAATTATTTTAAATTTTTTAAATTTATTTCTTATTTTTTTAAACTATGCAAATATTTAATTTTTCTTATAAAATGTAAAAAAAAAATTTATTCAGAAAAATGTAATTTTAGGTGTAAAGCTGATTTTATTATATGATGCATGTCTTAATGTGAGTTTCGTAAAACACAATTTGCAATTTTCTAATATTTTTATCATAATTATTTCTATTATAATTACTTTTAAAACATTGATTGACCTGCATATTTGCTTTTCAGTTATAGTTCTAAATAGTAAACTTGTAACACAATCATGAAAGACTTTAAACTTAATGTTCGAACTGACAGTACATTTTAAATTAATTGAAAAATTGATGCGTCATTCTTTAATAACGTAAATGATTTGGGGAATATACATCTGGAACTTGTCAGAATCAAATCGTCTTAGCCTGAATTATTCACCTATCTTCTAGTTCTATGAAAAGTGTAAGCTGTTCATAAAATATTACCTCCAAATATGTGATTGCTCTTGTAAAGTCAAAAACAATGTTTGCAGTGTAAATGATATAATTATAAGAGATAGAAAATCAGATTTTATTCATTGAATTCAAAGCATAAGTCAGTTATTTATAACAATTTAATTACTGTTGAATAAATTTAATGTTTTATTTCTACATCATTAGACAACTTCAAAATTATGTTGTCAAAATCAAAAAATTGTTTTGCAAAAGATCCCTGACCATTGTAATTTATACTCTAATGAGTAGGCAGACTTTCTTGCCAAAAATTATGCTTTGCTGACACGCTGTACAAGACAAAACTTCTTTTCTCTCCTCTCAATTGTTTCTTAAACAAATAATGCTGTGGATTCACCAAGATGAACTCTTATCTAAAATAGAAACCAAATATGGAGGAAATAATTGCCTCTTGGGTATGCCTGACAAGCATAGACAGTCAGCAGTGGCCGCTTTTTGTACACTTACATGGCATGATTTGCCTTGCTACCCATCTCTTTTGCATTGGCATTCTAACTGAGGCTGCCAGTCCTCTGTGTGATAAAAGAAACAAGTCTATGGACAAATATAACTTGCTTACCTTTGGGACTTTCCAAGGAGTGACGAAATAATTGAGATACTGGGAAATGAAAGCCTTGGGTTATCTCATGAATTTTTTGGGGTTATTATTGCATTTGTTTCTTTATTTGAATTTTTTTTTGTTCCTATTCATATTCATCGCCACAGCCATTGGAAATAAAAAAAATTTTAATTTTGTTTGATTTAGATATTCTCCACTGCACAATGTCCGTGTGCCTAAAGATGATCAAGTTCAATATCCAGCTGTGCTACTCTTCACTGGTGATCATGATGATAGAGTTGTGCCACTTCACACTTTAAAATTGATAGCTGAGTTACAGTATAGGATAGGCAAAAGTCCTAAACAGGTACTTTTCTTTCTATCTTTTTATTTCTCATAAAAAAAGATCTAATACTTGTATATATGTTTTTTATAAATGTTTGCTTTATGCATTATTGTTTAATCTCATTTATACATCCTAAATCCTCTTTAGTGCTGCAACTTGTACAGAAAATACCTAATATTTTTTGTCAGAAATAAGTTTAGTTATTACCAGTAATTTGTTAAATTTTTTAAGGCTGAAAATATTTGATATTATTTATTTCTGAAGTAAAATCTCTTTCCATATAAGTATGTAAAATTTTATTTACTATTGAGCTATTTATATATACATTGCACAGAAAATAAATATGAAAGAATCATTATTATTTTTTTCTTCCTAAAGTGAAGTTTTTATTTTAACAATAAGTTCAAGTTGAATCTCATTTCTCAATTTTTTTTTACCAACATTTGTTGTATTTCAAAATTGAATTGATTTAGAATAAATATAATTAGCTTTTTACACAGAATGAACAATATTAAACAAAATAAAAAAAATTTCCTTCCCTATAAAGGCAGAAAAGTAATCATGCTCATTATAAAAAGTTGCGATAAAATGCTCAGGGAATTAAATTTCACTTTATGGATCTATTTCGATACATTACTTAAACAGAGATACCGAGTAGTACTAATTTTCTGTAAATCATTTCTATAAATTTTAGTATTTCTTTTATCTTGGAGAGCCTTTGAACACTGTAGATGAATATGATTTCTCAAAATATTATTCTTTAGTTAATGGACTCTAATTTTCGCGTATAATTTATTCCGTTTTTTGAATAATCTTTTATTAGTTACTTCTTTTAGATTCGGTGAGACTTATTTTTTTCCGCGCATAGGACAAACTTATCATTTGTTTCATAATTTACCTAAACTTCTCTGATACTTTTATTGAGAATTGATTGCTAATCTTGATACAGTTAAATTAATGTATTGAAGCTTGTTATATTGTTTTGCGAAAGTGTAATTTATAGAACGTCACTTGTTTAATTTCTAGATTAAGACAGAAAAGACTACATGATTGTTATTAGTACTTTAAAATTATCCCTTCATATATACAAAGGGCATCCTTGGAAAGCGTCCTTACTTAAGTTTAGTTATGAAGTATTTAACTTTGAATTTTGTTTTAATGTTTTTAGGTTAATCCACTCTTGGTTCGTGTAGACACTGAATGTGGTCATGGTGCTGGAAAACCTACTGCTAAAATAGTGAGTATACATTGGAAGAGTAAATTTTTTGATAAGTAAACAATGTACAATAAACAAATGTAGTCAAACACCTCTATAATGAACCTGGAGTAAAGCAAACGCTCGGTTATAGTGAACAATTTTTAGTAGTCTCTTCTGAACTCCCATTTAAATAATGTATTTTATACGCTTCTAGTGAACTGCTGAGAAATTGGTAATTCATATAAAGTGGGCTCAAATTTTATTTCCATAGATTTTTTTTCCAGTTCTTTAAATTTGCAGGAGTTGGAACTACAAGCAACAGCATTGTATCAAATTTCAGTCTTATCAACTTCGCTCACATTTGACCAGCTGTTAGACAGTGCATCCTTCTAATTCTCTCCCCCCCCAGGATACAGAAATACCNATTTCAAATCCCAAAAATACGAAAACGAACATGTGATATAACGATATAAGGTCTCAAAAGTGATTCTGATTCTACCGCTCATCAGTCAAGGCCGTCTCAACATAACGAAACAATATCGTCTTCCACAGCGCGAGTTGGCATCGGAACGTAAGAGAAAGTCCTTGCGTGTATCGCTATATCGTTATATCGTCTTCTTCACTCGACGGCTTAAATCACATCTCTGATGTATCGCTTGGAATGAAAGTTGCTGTATCGGTTTGCCGATATAGGCGTTAAATCGATATGTCGCGATATATCGATTTATAGCCCAGTCCTAATTAGAAGAGTAAATTTTTTGATAAATAAACAATGTACAATAAACAAATGTAGTCAAACACCTCTATAATGAACCTGGAATAAAGCAAACGCTCGGTTATAGTGAACAATTTTTAGTAGTCTCTTCGAAACTACCATTTAAATAATGTATTTTATACGCTTATAATGAACAATTTTTAGTAGTCTCTTCTGAACTACCATTTAAATAATGTATTTTATATGTTCTAGTGAACTGCTGAGAAATTGGTAATTCAAATAAAGTGGGCTCAAATTTTATTTCTATAGATTTTTTTTCCAGTTCTTTAAATTTGCAGGAGTTGGAACTACAAGCAACAGCATTGTATCAAATTTCAGTCTTATCAACTTCGCTCACATTTGACCAGCTAGGTCTTGACTAGTTCTGAGTTTAATTGTAGTATATGCATAAGCTGAAAATGAATAAAATAAGCTGAATTTTAGTTTACAAAAAAGAATTGTTATAAAGGTTGAGAAGAATTATCAGCAAAACATAAAGTTCTTTATTCTAGGATTTGATCATTTTATATAGAATTGAAGATTTTGAGGAGAAATAATAATGCAATTTTTTATAAATGCATATCTTTTTCATAATTTGTTCAACCTATTGTTATTGGAAGAAAAAAGATTTTTTTTAAACTTTTTTTTATTGTTATTTTACTTAAATAATTTCATAAAACTATCCAAAATATCGAATAAAGGATGGTTTGTTGTTTGGGGGTAAATATAACGACAAGTTTCAACAATCATTACCAGTTTAAAAAATTTAAATTCTTGGAACCTTTTACGGAACCTCAAATTTCCGTGGAACACCATTTTATTAATTCATTTACTCTTGCCTCTGATTTAATTCATTTTACAGTTGCTCTCTTCTTCTTTTACATATCAATTTGAGATAGGCAGACATATTTTTCAAGAGCATTAGAAATGGTGAAATGGTAAAAAGGAAAGCATTTTCACTATAGCATCGTTCAACTGTAGTTTTAGTATTTAATAACTTAAAGTTTTTATATTTTTTCATAATTTTTTTAAAAATATTTATGTGTTCTTTATTTTAGATTGAAGAGCTTACTGATATGTATTGCTTTATTTATAACTCACTGGACTTGAAATATTACGATTAAAGCAAGGATCTGATTTTAAAGCAACTAATGTTGACAGGTTTACTCGAGACGAGCACTTGTTTCTTTCTTTTATAATTTTCATGTAATGAGCCTTTGAAATAAAATTTTTCTTTTGTTAGTTGTGTGTGCTTCAATAAAAAATGTGTGCGAAACATAATGTGACAAAACTCAATTTTCAGAATGATTTGATTTCTGTGTTGCCCACCTAATATTAACAATTTATTTGCTGACTGTTAATTACAAAGTTTTGATATGTATGTTCTTTTGATTAAAATCTTTTTTTGACTGGAAAAAAATAGCATTTGAAAGTTAGTGTAAAAGTCCTTAAAGGATATTTTTGCCCAAAAATGTGCGAAGATTATTTTCTTAGGTTCAAAGAATAAAGTGCAAATATTTTTTAAGACTTGTTTATATGCCACATTTAATCCTATCTGAGGTATATTAGCTTGTGATAAGTCGACGGCTTATTTGATGTTATTATAGTGATTCAAAATCACCAACTTAGTATCTGCTTTATTTAAACATTTTATAAGAAATTCTTGCAACATATTCTACAAACAAACAACAAAAATTACAAGGAGACAAAATAAAGCGAGTGAGGCAATAGTTAACAAAGTTGATGAAATTATCACCCTTAAATTAGCACTTTATATTGTCTGAATTTTGCCTCTTTCAAACGAAATAAATTTTATTTAAAATTTCTACTGTTTGTGTTCATAGATGAATGTTCCCCCAACCAATGAAAGTCAATGAACCTTAACTGTCATAAACTTAAGTTAATAGAATACACCTATCTAAAGCAGTAAACAATACATTTTAAAGCAAAAAATGAACTTTAAAAAATAATTTTAATTTAATGAACTAAAAAATAGCATAACCAAGTAAATAAGCATTTGTGTTAAAAACTTATAATCAGTCTTTACATTTATTTGATAAGTTTAATTGCTATGGCTGTCTTCCAATGAGGTGAACCGGGTTCGATCCCAGCGATGGCTGGTCGATACGAATTCCGCATCCGACTTGCACCGATCACAGTGCTAACGTGAAATATCCTCAGTGGTAGACGGATCATGGGTTAGAGTCCCATTGAAGTCAGGCTAACCGTGGGAGGTTCTCGTGGTCTTCCGCTCCATGCAAAGCAAATGTGTGTTAGTTCCATCAGAAAGTCCTCCACGAAGGCAAATTTCGCCCCGTACGCTCCCTTGTCTTCTGGATTAGGTTCAAAATTACAAGTCTACGGAATTGAATATTAGTAGTCGTAAACCCAAAAATTGGGTCGGCTGTTAAACTCCGGCAATAAAAAATAAAAACTATATAAAAAAAAAAGTTTAATTGCTAATTAAACTAGAGCATAACTGGACAACCAGTTATTTAATTTTTAAGTCTGAATGGAAGATTTCTTTTGCTATTAAAAGTTTTTCTTCCCTTAGTATTGAGACTAAGGAGATAAGACTTAAATTATCGAAGTTTTTTTTGTATTAAGTACTCAAGTATATAATTTATTTATGTTTGAGGCATGTCTCCCAAGCTCTCATCATCTACTTAATGGTTATAAAGGTCAGGTGTTGGCGACTGNTTTGGCCAACTCTGCTCCCAAGCTCTCATCGTCTGCTTAATGGTTATAAAGGTCAGGTGTTGGCGACTGTTTTTTCGAGTTGTCACCCACACAAGCATTATCACCTATAACTAATAAGCAATGCTGTAGTTGGAAAAAAAATTTGGAGGAATTCACCTTTTTATAGGGTATATGTCGTAGTATTGTCATGTTGTTAGGTCAAAAAACGACCAGTTTAAATTACTTGGCCAGCTTTAATTACAAAAAGACATTTATTATTTTTTTAATAGCAAGGGTATGTGCCACAATTTACATTATTTTTTTATCTTTGATGAATTCATCAAAAAAAGCTATTTATGGAATAATTGCATAATATAATGAACTTCTATTAAATGAGAGAGTACACATCTCTTCATTAGCACTTGAAAAGTACTATAACTATTTGTTAAACACATTGCCTTGATATCAAAAAGGGATACAGATTTGCTTTGTTAGAAATAAATAGTAAGAGAAATTCACATTTGTGATAACTCATATTATTTACTTTAAATTGTCTTTATTCAAAAAGAGAGAGAGAGAGAGTGAATTTCATGAGCCTCTCTTTTTTAATTGCTCGGACATAATTATTTGCTCATAGATTGGTACCTTTTGCTAACCAGATTATAAAATGTGTAAGACAGAGCCATAAAGAAATATAATATCCTTTAATATTCTCGATTTTACAAAACGCATGAAATTAATTAAAAGGAACTTTATATAAAGATTTCGTTTTCATTAACTACTGGTAAATGCAATTTAAATATTTGTCGTAATTACTTAGCTTTTCAGCTACATCCAGAATTTTAAGTTTAATTTGTGTTTCATTTCATAAAAAAAATAATAATAAATAAATAAAGAGAGAAAAAATTGGTTTGAAATCTTTTTCAAATATTTAAAAAATAATTTTTACTGCAGCGCCAAACATTTCGAGGAATGGCGTTCCCTCAGAATTACAGGTAATTATATTAATCCGGAAACTTGTTACTTTTTTAGATGCATACAAATTTCCGGAATCTCAATTAAATAACAGAACAATATACCGAATCAGTTTAATTTCTAGATAGAAGTACTGAAGTTTCTCACTAAAAACGCTTTACATTACAATTTGAAAAAATCAAGTCATTTAACGAAAAAGGATTTCGTAAGACAAAGTAAAACAAATTTTATGGGATAACCATGTGAAATTTACAAACAAGATCCAAGATTATTTATTACTCTTAAAAGAGAATTTCCATGTTTTTCTGAGGATTACAGCAAACTATTATCATTGATTATTTCAAGCAATTTTTTGTTATTGACTTTATTTCAAACTATTTTAATCTACATATACATAATAAACATGTTCTTTTTAAAATAGGAGGAACTTCGCTTTCAGCAGAAAACATTTTTCAATTTATTATTAAGTGTTATAGTTCAATCGGTTAAAAACAAATAATCTATTATTCTGCCCAACAGTCTGTACAGAAATATTTCATTTCAGTCTGTACAAATAAGGCTGAATTTATGTCACTTGCTCGTCCTATCATTTTCCGCTATAAACATATAGAGCAAATACACGTTGAGGCAGAATGATTTGCACGTGATAATTTATATTTCAGCTATGCATATAGAGTCTAGTTTATGCATAAGTTCCGTAATGGTTGAATTTCTCTTAGATTCAACATAATATATTACAGTTAATGTAAAAATAACTATTTTTTAAACTGAAAGATCTGCTTGAAGGTCAATAAAAGTTTCAGTTATGCTAAAAATTTCTTTAATATTACTTAAAATTATACGTGCTAAAAATATTTGCATTTTGAAACGAAAATTGACAAAAAATGAAAATTGACTTACAAAAAATGAAATTGCTTATAATTAATTAAAATAAAATTTTATTAAGTCTAGTATAAGATTTTAAACAATATCAAGTGATTGCTATAAGTCCATATAATCTAGATTCTAGAAGATCATTCAATGCTTTTAATTTCTAATTATATTTAAAATTTTATTAAATGTCCCTTTTTTTGGTGGTGCTTACACTTGAAAGTGCTTACAATTACTAATAGTGCTTAAAATGTTTTGATTTTGTGTTTTGAAACTAAAAAAAAAAAATTCCACAAAAAATGAAACCGTTTGTAAAAAATTATACTTAACAGTGTAATAGAGTTTAGTACACACTTTTAAACAACATCAAGTAATTGAAGTTATTGTCATTACAGAATTCCTGTAAGTTTTATTTTGTGATTATCAATTTAATCGTACTGACAACTAGAAATTCAAAAGAAAAAAANCACGTGATAATTTATATTTCAGCTATGCATATAGAGTCTAGTTTATGCATAAGTTCCGTAATGGTTGAATTCCACTTAGATTCAACATAATATATTACAGTTAATGTAAAAATAACTATTTTTTAAACTGAAAGATCTGCTTGAAGGTCAATAAAAGTTTCAGTTATGCTAAAAATTTCTTTAATATTACTTAAAATTATACGTGCTAAAAATATTTGCATTTTGAAACGAAAATTGACTTACAAAAAATGAAATTGTTTATCATTAATTATAATAAAATTTTATTAAGTCTAGTGCAAAATGTAAAGCAATATCAATTAATTGCTTTAAGTCTATATCACCTAGAAAACTATTTAATGCTCTCAATTTCTAATTATATTTAAAATTTTGCTAAATGTCCCTTTTCTTAATAGTGCTTACATTTGAAAGAGCTTTTTTTTGCATTTTGAAACTAAAAAAAGTTCACAAAAAATGAAACCGTTTTTAATGAATTATAATTAATAATGTAATAGAGTTTAGTACACACTTTTAAGCAACATCAAGTAATTGAAGTTAATGTCATAACAGAATCCTTTTAAATTTCACTTTGTGTTTATTATTTTAAATGTACTGAAAACTAGAAATTCAAAAGAAAAAAAATAGCTGTACTGCACTTTTTACGAAAAAGATTTATAGAACATGCTATTTATGAAATACACAAAATTGCATGTGCAGTTAAAGAGATCCAATTGTTTTGCAAATACAGTAGAGTCTCGATTATCCGAGTTAATGTGGACCACGACCAACTCGGATAATCGAAAAACTCGGTTGAAGCGAAAAGTCTAAAAAAGGAAAGAAAATAGTAGGTATAAATGCATTATATTTAAAAAATACAAAATATATACGAGTACAAGACATACAATTCATAATATAATCAAAGAGCATACTTTACGAGAATTAAAGAGCTTTTACTTAAAAAAAGTCCTTAATTGTTTTTTTATATTTTACATTACTTTGGCTCTTTTCTGCAGCAATGTTTCACCATTTTCTTACGGATAACAGGAAGGCTGATGTCTCATCTTCTTGTTATTCTATATAGTCAATAGAACTTTCGACAGCTTTTAGTCCATTTTTATGACAGATTTTATATGTTGATTTTCATCGTCACTGTCTTCATTATCTTCACTAAATTCATTTTCATAATTGACGATATTAACAATCATTCATCAGTAGTCTCGAGTTGTCCGTCATCTTGTTTTCCTCAACGTTTTGAAGATAAAATTCAGATTTTCTTTTGGCGGTAGTTTTAAAAATAAAAAGTAAACTAGTGTAAAAAAAAAAAAATCCTTGAAATATTTGATAGCTCGGTTTAAGCGGAAACTCGGATAATGGGGGCTCGGATAAGCGGGACTTTACTGTAAAAGTATTTCTGATTGCATTATGTATCTATATACACAACTTCTATAAGTATAGCAAGATATTATAATTTTGAATATGTGCTTATTAGCAAATTATTAGCACGGCTGTGTTGGAGGAATTAGACATCACATGTTATTTAAATTTTAAGTAGCGAAAATTTAAATAAAATTCAAGATTATTTTGCTCATATATGGCTGTAAGGTAAGATATTAAATGTAAGTAAAAACTGAATAAAATCGTGATTGCTTCAACATCATATTATAAATTTAGTAAATATAAAACTAAAAAGCAATTTTAAATTTTTTCATTTTGTATAGTTTTCCTTTTACTTTGAAATAAATTTTATTTCAATAGAAATTATTGAATTCCTTTCAAATAATTTGCTACTCGAAAAATATAAATCATTACTATAATTGATGAATAATCTTGAAAATTATCAGTTATATTCTTGATTTACAAAGTAAATATCCTAGGTCGATTCACAGCAAAATATCAGTATACATTTGTTCGATTAAAAATAAATATATCATTCATATTTCGTGTAAAATATCAAATAATTTCAAAGAATTTTATGACCATATAAAATTGATACAATAAATATCATCACAAAATGTTTATCTATTCATCACAAGGATGAAAATATATGCTCAGTGTTATATATTGAAGAAGAAAAATTTGAATATGATTCGGCGATCTGTTTGTTTGTACGTTTTATTGACAAAGATCAGCCATTTTGCATTCGCAAATAACCGGCTAACGTCAAAAGGAAATGTTATGTCAGCTCAACTAGTATGGAAAGTGTATAGGCAGAACTGCTTCCAGTTACCAAACCTTTTTACAGCTGGATTCGCAAGTGACAGGTGGTTATTTTTCAGCACTCAGCTGAGACCCCAGTTTTTAAGGTAAAAGTTATTTTATTTGTCATATTAATATATTAATCTTACTTTAGCTTTGTTTTGTTAAGGTTTTATTATTTTTTTTAGTAAAATTTAAATAAATTTTAAGTTTAAAAAGTTATAGAACATTTGATGAAATTTATTATAAATGCCAAACGATAATGAAACTCGTTTGGTGAGAGGAATTGGAATTAGATGACCCAGTTCTGTGACAGTGCACCTTTTCTTATGCCAGTATTATTATAAAACTGCTTATAAGTTCATTATTTCGCTTCTTTTCCTCCATTTAATTTTTAGAAAAGTGTGATATTTTTGATTTTTGTACACCAAATCGTAGAATTAAAATAACGAGAAAACATTCATGAGCATAAGATAAAGAATAAAGCGACAAGCTTCACTGATGAAATATTTGACACCAGACAAATATCAGTAAGATTTTTAATGAAATTTATATTCTAAGTACAAATTTCATAAATTATCAATGAATTAAAGAGTCTTTCATTGAGTTTTATTTATTATCTCATAGTTCTTATAAAAATCTAGCAAAACTTTATTTGATTTTTTAGATTGTAAAATTTTCTTAATGTTGTATTGGTTTGACATTTGTTTACATAATAAAAATTGTTTTGAATTTCTTTGCTATAAATATTATATTTTTATTTGGAAAGAAATTCTAAATAAATATATTGGTTTATATTCAAAATAAACTGATAATTATAATCAATTTATATCACATTTATTACAAAAAATTTGATGAATTAATAGTACTGGTCCAATCACAATAAAATATTATAACAAAATTTCAAACATATACCAACATAACGCATTATTATGTATAAAATGATTTAATATCAGCTTTTTTTTCTTCTAATCTAGTCTATTATATCTGCTAGCTTTGCAATACATGATCCACAAGAATTTCTTATTTATTTTTTTTAGAAATAACTACTGGAGTATGTAACACATTATTTCCTCTTTTTTTTTGTAATAATATTTTTTGTAGACATAGATGACAAAATAGAACAAAAGATCTACATTAAGATAAATTAAAAGATCTACATTAAATTCGACTTAATTATTTTATTAGTTAAATAATTAAAATATTTATTTTATGTGATTATTCTATTTAATAAAATGATTTTTTTGTTATTATGATAGTTTTAAAGGGCATAGTTATCAGCTTAAATTAGGTATTTATATCATTTTAATTATGATTTTAAGCGACTATTTACCAGTACTGCGAAGTGCACTAACTTTTATAAAAAATAAATAAACTAATAAGTCCTCTGTTAGAACGTAATATTAAGGTACTACATAATTTTAATTGATTTAATATAAAAATTGACAGAAATCGATTTAATAGTGGCTAAGATACCTTTTTACGACCTGTTACTGAAAAACGTCTTTGAAATTCTTTAATCATTTTCTTTACGATAAGACAATATTTATTTAAATAAAAAATAATTTTTAGTTTCAAAATTTAAATAATTGCATTATCAAGTTAACTATTTTGCATTACTATTGGGTAAATAAGTTTTATTGTTTTTTACAGCTTATAGTAAAAATACAACCAAATACGCAAAAAGTAAAACACTACGGAAAATCGAGCTACTAATGGAAATTATTATAAAGCGATAACATGAATAAAATATAATGCTTAAATAACTAATGCTTGATATTAAAAAATAGTTGCTTGTCAAGTTAAATACTTTTTATTTTACGTGTCTCGTTCCATGGCCTTGAGGATGGCAAAGAAATTATACAGCAAGTTTACCTTGACCGTCATGTCAAAAAATTGCGTCGATATTTATTTCTGTCTATTCTACTATCGCATTGCGTAATGTAGAATGTGTGAAAATAAATAAATAAATAATAATAATAAAAAAGAACGGACCACCCTGATTCACTTTTGATCTAATGATCGGATCCTTACGTTCTATGACTCAATCTTAATGGTTCGAGGAGGTGACCTTAAATATGCTAATTAATTAGTGCAGACGATATTTTGAGTTATGAAATCGGGCACAAAAATGTACTTTCTCTGAATGAACATGCCTTTTTTTCTGACTGATTCGGATTTCGGACCCCCAAAATATAAGGGACAACCGCAATCTGTTAATAGTTTGGTTAGGAGAGGGCTCAAAAATTTGGACCCCTTAAATGTTAATTTTACTTTTTGCGTCTTTCGCAATAACGCTAGAACTTTTTAAGATTATTGAAAACTTTTTACACGCATTTATAAAAATCGTTTATCCAAAGATAATTCCATGCATAAAGTAACTTTTAGTAAATATTTATAATTTTTTATTATTTTATTTATGAACTGTCAAAAAAAATTTTAATTGTAAGATATGCAATTTTTTTGGAGTAATTTTAAAGAATGTAATTTTACGTAGCAAAATATAAAATTTTAGCAAAATCAGTCTAAAGAAAAATCGAATTTTAAGTACTTGACTTTTTTAATATTCAATTTCTCAGGAAGTATTTAACCGAGTTTGCTCAAATTTTGTATTTTGTTATGTAAAATTACATTCCTTAAAATTACACAAAAAAATTTTACACCTTGCCATTATATTTTTTTTACCATTCTTAAACAAAAGAATACAAAATTATAAATATTAACTAAAAATTACTTTTTGCATGGAATTATCTTTGGATAAACGAATTTTATAACTGTTTGCAAATATTTTTCAATTCGTTTTAAAATTTCTCTAGATATGGAGAAATAAGTAAAAAGTAAAATTAACATTAAGGGGTCCAAACTTTGGATCACTTTCCTGATCAAAATATGGGGACCATATTCCCTAGATTGCGACTACCTTCTATATTTTGGGGGTTAGAAATCCGAATCCGTCGAAAAAAAGGTTTGTTTGTTCAGAAAGTAAGTTTTTGTGTCTGGTTTCACAACTTAAAATATTGTCTGCGCTAATTAATTAGCATATTTGTGGTCACCCTTTCGAACTATTAAAAATGAGTCCAAGAACGTGAAGATCCGATAATTAGATCAAAAGTCATTCAGGACGGTTCGTTCTTTTTTTTGACGTACTGCACATAATAAACGCTAATCAATGTACGTCAAAAACTAAGAGTTCAGTTTTATTGGTAGAATTTTATTACATTATATATTAAAATTTTAAAGCTTAAAATTTATACTAAAATTCTAAGAATAAAATACATATTTAAGTCATTCTCTTATAACTTGAACAATCATTTATTATAAAAGTTTTAATAGTTGCATTTGTTCATTTATTGTTGTTTATAAGATATATTTATTTTATAGTTAATAATTAACTAGTGGGCTGCGCCTCCTGCTCGCTAACGCTCTCCAACCCCCGAAAATTGCTACGCAATCTTATATGGTTTACTTCGCAAACCAAGCTCGCTTCGCTCTCTACTAACTTAGGTACATTGCAAATGCACAAAATTTTAAGAATTCAAAACAATCATTCAAATCCATATAAAAACTTTTTTTTTTTAAAAAATTACATCTTTTTAGTAAAGTCATTAAAGTCACTAAGTCATTAAAATAAATTTGAATTCAAATAAATGACATGTAATTCGTTAAACCTATTAGAAATGTGCTATAGTATAATTCGTAATATAAATCAAAAATCGTCAAATAAATTCGTAATTTCAAATAATTCGTGAAAAAAAGCGCTTTCGACAAAATATTAAAATGGAGATCTATAGACAAAGACTACTCACTTCTGCCTAACTTAATTGTATGAGATTGCCGCAGCTGATGCTCTCTGGTTATTTCAATTTCCGTTTTTAAAAGCGGTATATGTTGAGCCACCTCAGCTAGATTTGGCATGTGGCATTTTTAGCGGCAATCATTGGTCGATTCGCCGTGTAAGAGAAATAGTAACGTAAACAAAACAAAGCAAACGTTGCCACCGGCGGAAAAGNATTTTAAGTACTTGACTTTTTTTATATTCAATTTCTCAGGAAGTATTCTACCGATTTTGCTCAAATTTTGTATTTTGTTTTATAAAATTACATTCTTTAAAATTACTCAATAAAATTGTATACCTTACCATTCAATTTTTTTTTTACCATTCTTAAACAAAATAATACAAAATTATAAATATTAACAAAAAATTACTTTTTGCATGAAATTATTTTGGATAAACGAATTTTATAATTGTTTGCAAATATTTTTCAATTCGTTTTAAAATTTCTCTAGATATGGAGAAATACGTAAAAAGTAAAATTAACATTAAGGGGTCCAAACTTTGGATCACTTTCCTGATCAAAATATGGGGACCATATTCCCTAGATTGCGACTACCTTCTATATTTTGGGGGTTAGAAATCCGAATCCGTCGAAAAAAAGGTTTGTTTGTTCAGAAAGTAAGTTTTTGTGTCTGGTTTCACAACTTAAAATATTGTCTGCGCTAATTAATTAGCATATTTGTGGTCACCCTTTCGAACTATTAAAAATGAGTCCAAGAACGCGAAGATCCGATCATTAGATCAAAAGTCATTCAGGGTGGTTCGTTCTTTTTTTGACGCACTGCACATAATATAAGCTAATCGATGTACATCAAAATCTAAGAGTTCAGTTTTATTGCTTGAATTTTATTACATAACATATTAAAATTTTAAAGCTTTAAATTTATACTAAAATTCAAAGAATAAAATACAGATTCAAATCATTCGCTAATAGCTTGAACAATGATTTATTTTAAAAGTTTTAGTAGGTGCATTTGTTTATTTACTATTGTTTATAAGATATAATTTTATAGTTAATAATTAATGTTGATTATAAAGTTTCCTTATTTTTTTGTATACTAGTTGTTATACATTTTAAAGCTAGTCATTGGTGTTAGGTACCAAATGAATTGACATCAAATTTGTGAAGTACTTGGGCCAATACTTTCCATTTTCTTGATATGCTTAGTATCACATATTATTTTGATTACTTATATTACTACGTGAGTAAATCTTACAATAAATAACAATGCAAATATACACGAAAATTGATGTGCGTGGTAAAATTGAATACTTTAATTGAAATTTATGGTGTGAAAATTGACCTTCAGTGATATCAATAAATGACGTAGCATCACGTCAAAACTCTCCGGCAAGTTAAGAAACGAAAATTTACTCGCCAACTATAACTACAGTATGCTGTTGTGATGAGCTAGCTAAAGCGTCATATAATATTTTCCAGATCTGGTCAAATAAATCACCCAAATTACCAAAGCAGGGAAAGGCGATCAAAATACCTTTAAAAATGCTGAAAAAGTTTTAAAAAGAGGGGCGAGTAATTAATTCTAGAGCTTTTTCTTAAGTTTATAAAGCTGGGAGATAGTGGAGGAGTCAATGATACCTGATTAAAAAGAGCCCTGGGGGCTCAGAGTATAGAGCGTTTGCCTCCCAATTAGGTGAACCGGGATTACTGGTCAATACGAATTCCGCACTCGGCTAGCACCGAACACAGTGCGGACGTAAAATATCCTCAGTGGTAGACGGATCATGGGTTAGAGTCCCCTTGACGCCAGACTAAATGTGGGAGGTTTTCGTGGTTTTCCTCTCCATGTTACGCAAATGCGGATTAGGTCCATTAAATTTCTCCCAATACTTGATCCTGGAGTTCCTTTGTCTTCTGGATTAGGTTCAAAATTCCAAGGTTACGGAGTTGAGCATTAGTAGCCATAGTCTCAAATTGGGTCAACTGTTCAACGATGGTTATTAAATAATTAGATTAAAACGGTTGGAAATCTTTACCCTATAGTTAAAAGCCGTAGAGCAAAAAAAAGTCATACGTAGCGTAGCCTACGTTGTGAATATACCACAAAGAATAATATCATCATGAAAAAACTTTTGCTCTATGGCATTTAATTGAATGTAGCCATAGTCACATATAGTCTATTCTCGGTGGCTATGATGTAGCAGCAATGAATTCTTCCAATTTCACACCTAAAGTTAGTGTCAGACTAACCCATTTTTGTAACTGAAACATATTCTATTTTTACTCTAATTTTTTCTTCGCATAATTGAAGTGATTGGAATAAGATATGGTTGATTCATATAATAAAATATTTTAATCACTTGTTAAAATTTAAAATATTAGATTTAAGGTATTGATGTCAGTTTTTTTCTTTGTCGTTTTAGTTGAAGTTATCTTTCTAAAAATATATCCAAAATGCTAAGTTTCTGTGTCAGAAAAGCTAACTTTGAAAAATGCAGTTCTTTTGCTGCTTGCATACTTCAAAGCAACAAGACATCGTCAATTCTTTTGACTAGGAAATCTCACACTGCATTGCTAAGGTAAGGATGTTTCAATTCTGCTTGTTATTGAATGAAGTTCAATTCTGCTTGTTATATTCTGCATGAAGGTACTCAGTGGATGAAGGTTCTAAGGAAAATCTTAGGACAATTGCGTAAATTTGATTTGAAGCCAACATAGACTTTAAGAAACCAAGAATTGTTTATTTGTTTTTCGGAAATGTTGTTCTGTAGTCGTATGAAATAATGCTTTTTTGCAAATAATGTGCTACTTTTATAACTGATCTGAGTTTGCAATTACTCACGGCTGTAAGGTCGAGTTTAGCCTATCTTTAGCCGGAGCTCTCTATGTTTATTCTATAAATGGCGCAAAGCATAAATATGGAGAAACGACGCAGTTTTGAGAAAATGAAAAGCGTTCGTGGTCTAGCTTTTTAATATTTGAAAACTTACTCCAATGCTGCATTATCAGGGCTCATGAAAATTTGGAGAAAAAAAAATGGGAATTGGGCATTGCTTTTAATAATTGTCCCCTAGTTGGAAAAATGTCGCCAAAATGGCGATTTTTCTAAAAAGCTTAATAATTTTTAAAATATTTTAGTTTGTTTGTCCGTTATAAAGCCCAAATGATTCTTTACAGCAAGATAGCATATACGTTGTAAAATTGCCTCAAGGGTAAGGCACTTAAATTGTGGCGTTTTATTTTCCTTAGCGATAGAGCTTCAGAAAACCATGTTAACTTTAGCATTGCTTTCACACTCTTAGCATTTAAATTTGCAGCCAAAAAGAAAATTTTTTTATGGTTACTCGTCGACTGTTTGTTGCCCAATGTATTTAAAACCTTCTTCGACTTTAAAAGCATTCAAAGATTGTCATTTAGTACTTTCATCCACTGAGTTCTGCAAAATTTAAAGACTTCTCAAAAAATGAGAAGACAATGTTGTGTAATTATATAAGATAAAACTATGTATTATCTATTATATATATATATTTTTTAATTTTTGAATAGTTTGATAATGTTTATAGATATTTATACTTTTTTATGATTTATTAACATTTATTGTAACTGAAACGATGATGCGAACTGATAAATAAAAGAATAGTTGAAAACTTGAAGAAATGGTAAATGAAAACTTAAAGCTGCATCTCATTTGATACATTTTTTAGACAATACGATAGGGGGAAAATGGGACCATAAGTTAAGGTACTATAAATTTAAGGTCTATAAATTTTTCTTATTTCTTCTCTGATTCGGCCGTTTACTAATGCGCTAATTTTGCGATTCACTGATTCGGCCATTTACCGATTTGCTAATTCATTTATTCGCTTTCTTTCATTTATTTCTTTAATCGTTTATGTATCAAAAATCATTCATTACAACAACTATCATAGTTAGTGCCGTGATGGCTCAGGGGAGACAACGTTTGCCTTCCAATGATGTAAACCGGGTTCGAATTCCAGTGATGGCTGGTAGATACGAATTCCGCATCCAGCTTGTACCTACCACAGAGCTGATGTAAAATATCCTCAGTGGTAGACGGAACATGGGTTAGAGTCCCATTGACGTCAAGATAACCGTGGGTGGTTTTCAAGGTTTTCCTCTCCCTGTAGCGTAATAGCGGGTTAGTTTTCCCTTGTCTTCTGAATTAGGTTCAAAATTACAAGGCTGTGGCGCTGAACAATAATAATCATGCATACAAAAATTGGGGCAGCTGTTCAACGACGGTTATAAAATAAAAAAATAAAAAAACTATTATAGTCACAGAATCGTGCATATAGTAATATGCTTTTCATAAATAAATGTAAACAAACTCTTAAAATAAACATAATTCAAATAAAGTAAAAGTGGGATTACGAAGGAAAAAAAATATTAAAGGACTTGTTCGGATTGACCTTTGCTAATCTCTTGTTATCATGAATTCATGAACACATAGGTGCAGGAGCCTATAATTGACAAGATACGTCATATTGATATTGAAAATAGTTTTATCGAATTTTAAAAAGATCTTTTATAAAAGTTATTTTTCAAGAACTATTCGACCAATTTCGCTCGCATTTTGTAATTTATCATGTAAAGTTACATTCTTTAAAATGATGAAAAAAATCGAATACTTTACAATTCAAAATTCTTTCGATTATTATTAAATAGAATAAAAAATAATAAATATTTACTAAAAGTTATTTTTTGCATGGATTTATCTTTGGATAAACGAATTCTATCTTTGTGAGCAAAACTTCTTCTACTCGCTTTAATGTTCTCCCGATAAAGCGAAATACAAATAATAATAATGATAATAATACAATAACATTTAAGGGTCCTAACTTTGAATCGCTCTCCTATTGGACAATATTTCTCAGATTGCGGCTACCTATGATATTTTGGGGGTCAGAAATCTGAATCCCTCGATGAAAGAAAAAAGGCACGTTTATTCAGAGGAAGAACGTTTTTGTGTTTCAAACAAGACTTTAAAATAAGCAGACTTTAAAATAAGCTAATTAAATGATGCAGATGATAGTTAAATTATGAAATCATACGAAAACAAACAGTAGAAAAATATCCGCTGTTACGGCGAATTTCCAAGTCATTGTCAAAAACGCCGAGCTGTCCTTCAGTTATGATTAGAATATACTTTAGAGGCACTCTTGCCCGAAATGGATTTGCACATGGAAAAATTATATAGATTAACAAAGAAATAATTTAGTAAATAATTTTGGCAATGAATTTTGGCCTAAAATGGATTTGCACATGGGAAAATCATAAAAATTAACAACAAAAAAAATGTTTAGAAAATATATCCACCAAAATATACGATTAATTCAATGATTTTATATAAAATTTTATTACATTAGTTGGGTATCCATTGTTTTTTTATCAGATTTTGAAAGAGTTTATCGATTTGTTTTTTGGATAAANATGGGTCCGCCTTATAAACAGGTGTGACGTATGATGTGGCAGAAGTCGAATTCTTGGCCATAGATGGCGCCACTGAAGAACAAGAATCGCACACTCTGCCTTAAATTTGCTCGGTTTCACCAAGCAGGCTTGCCCGTGTGGCATTAGAACCAACCAACCAAAAATGATTTTTGACATACACTATTGACCAATAAGTATTTGGATACCTATGCAAATAAATGGTGTTTCTCCTGGTATGGATTGGGATCCTTGGTCCCCATTCATGGTAAGATCAACGCCAATGCCTACTGCACTATTTTGGATGACAATGTGCTTCATACGTTGTAGCAGTTTTACGGAGTGGACCCCTGTTACTTCCAGAACGACAATGCCAGCTGTCAATTTGCGAGGGTCACCAAGGCTTGGTATGGAGCCAATGGGGTTAATCGAATGAACTGGCCTGCCCAGACCTGAACCCTATCGAGAACCTTTGGGACGAGTTGGATCGCCGAATTAAGGGACGTACTACCCGTCCAAAATCGGTGAAGGAACTTACATGTCTTCTCCAAGGCGAATGGAAGAAAATACCATTAGCCGTCACACAAGGACTTGTGGAAAGCAAGATCCGGAGGGTTCACGCTATAATTGCCTCTCGTGGTGGCTCTACTAACTATTGATTATGAATAAAGTTTGTTTTTCTTTTCAATCACATGTGTCCAAATACTTATTGGTAGATAGTGTAGTGCGTGAATAGGAAGAAAAGAGTGTGGGAAAAAAGAAAACTACTAAGTTTATGATTGTCATGTGTACTTCTGAATATAAAGTCTATCTAAAAAGAAATAGTAATAATTACCTCTTTTTATCCTAAAAAATGACCTCAATGAATGCCTTTTCAGTAAAAAGTATGCTTCCAAACTCATTGATGGTAAGAAAATAGCAGCACAGATACAAGCTGAGGTTAAAATGGACATCCAACGATGGATTGCCCGGGGAAATCGAGGACCACATCTCAGCGTGCTGCTGGTTGGAGACAATCCTGCCAGTGCTGTCTACGTTAACAACAAGCTAAAAGCTGCTCAAAAAACTGGTATGTAATGTAACGCACTCACACTGGAGGGAGCACAAAAATCTTAGATCCCGTTCTTAGTACTATTTACTTAGTATTTCTTAGTAATAAATTCTAAACTTAGTATTACTTTTCTCAGCACTATAAGTAGGAATAAATTTTGGTAGTAAAAAAAGTGTAGCTACAAATATCATTTATTAACAGCAATAAATTTCCTATGAAGGAATTGACTAACAAATTTTATATGCTATTAGGTTTGAAATCGAAATATTAGACTTTTGTATTACAGTTCAATGAATATAAGGAATAATACAATATGGATATGTATAAATTTTTTTTAAAAATATTCCTAGCATATTAAATGCTTTTCTGTTTCCAGAAATGTTTAGTGTGTTCTACAAACATCCCCCCCTTAATATACATTATTGTATTTCTTATCATAATAAAGTTTAAAAAAAGAAATATAATATGCTTAAAGGGCGAAATAATGCAAGTCATTCATTATGAAAGAGTGATATAAAAAATACTAATATAATTTTGATCGTCGTATGTAAAGCAAAAGCAGTTTAAAGCTATAACTAAATACGAAGATTTTATCCTATTTTCACATTGATAAACATGCTCATACCGATCACAATGCTGATGTTAAATGTCCCCAGTAGCAGACAAATCACAATCTGTCATCAGGTTAACCATGGAAGATTTTCTTAGTTTTCCTCTACACGTAACAAAAATGCAGTTTAGTTTAATAATAATAATAATAATAAAAATAATAAAAAACTCCAGGAGAGAGAGCTCGTCCAATTCCTTAGTCCACAAGTTCCCATGTTTCTTGACTTTGGTTTAAAATTATGTTAACGGATTTGAACTTTGATAGCTGCAAATTCCATGTGAATTATCATTAAGATAATAATAATAATAATAATAATAATAATAATAATAATAATAAAAACTGCATTACAGAGAGCTTGTCCAATTCCTTAGTCCACAAGTTCCTATGCTCTTTGGCTTGGGTTCGGATTTGATAGTTGCAATTTCCTTATGAATTAGCTTTAAAATAATAAATCAATCCTACGTTGAATCTTACGTGAAAATTCTACGTTGAAAAACATGTAGATTGAACATTGAATGAATATTGATGAATCCTTTTATACATTTCAGGCATATCAAGTGAAACAATATTCCGTACAGCAAACACATCTGAAGCAGAAGTCCTGGACATCATCCGAGAACTGAATGATAGTCCAAATGTTGATGGCATACTCGTTCAGCTACCATTGCCACAGCACATGAACGAGAGAAGAGTTTGCAACGCTATAGCACCGCATAAAGATGTGGATGGTTTCCATGTTGTGAATGTGGGAAGATTCTGTCTGGACATGAATGCTCTGATGCCCTGCACTCCATTGGGAATTATGGAATTATTGCGGAGAAGTGGTATGTACAGTCATTTTGCAGATTCATTTTTTTGACCTTGATAAAAATAAAACTTGCACTTTTTTTCCAAAGATTTTTATTGCTACGTGCAACTAAATTGTTTAAATACCTTGTTAATTTTTTCATGACAATTTTGTGCACTTTTTTTTACCCAACATTTAACTTAGAAACCTACACTAGTGAAGCAATTGTCTTTTCTTATTGTTTCGCTCCATTCAGAGTGAATTAAGTAATACGTTTTGCATAGTAATAATGTTTTTGAATTTTAAAATGAAAAGCTATTTTGATTTGAGTATTTCATTTTTTGAATGGTTTACTGATTAAAACTCATAATATATATATATTAGAATTTAAAATATTTTTTTTAAAACAGAAACGCTATATTTTTTAGAATTTTCTTTTTTTGTAAATTGCAAAAACGTATGCAATAGGTCAGGGGTGGCGAACCTTTATACACCAACGTGCCATTTTCTCTAAAAAATTGCTTAATGAGATCATAGACGTGCCGTCAAATAATTTTGACTTCGTGATTATTGGGAAAATAATAATACTAAAAACTCTTTATTTACATTGAAAAAAACATTTTGTATACATGTCTCAGTTATACATGTAATTTAACTTAAAGTAACATCAGTGTGACTTCTGTTGTAGCAGATTAGAGGACCGATAACTTATATTAGGTTGTAAGATGTTAGTTTAAGCAGGACTGTCGATCTTTTTTGCTAGTTATTTATTGTTAGCTTGTTTTTTACTGTTATTAATTGTTTTTTTAGTATTAATTTGTAACTTTTTTTTATTAATAATTGTTTATTATTTTGTTTGTTTTTTGTGAACTTCAATTTAATTGTTACATATGCTTCATAGCGTAATAACATTTGTGTAATAACAATTCATAATGTAATAACAATTGTGATCGGTGGAGTGCCCAAAATATTCTGTCGCGTGCCATAAATGGCACGCGTGCCATTGGTTCGCCATCCCTGCAATAGGTTTTAAATTTTAAAATTAGTTTACATCTTAAATGTTATGAATGGGTCTGCTTTCTTTCGAAATGAAAACTATTTTGAAAGAATATTTCGAAATAATTGTTTCTGTTTCTTATGCGTAAAAATGTCAAATCTTCATCTAACAATAAGCTGGGCTATTTTTTGTTTTATTTCACAGGTGTTGAGACGTTTGGAAAAAACGCAGTTGTTGTGGGAAGATCTAAAAATGTTGGAATGCCTATGGCTATGTTGTTGCATGCAGATGGAAATGGAGAAACTCAAGCAGGTAAAAATGAAATAAAATTAGAATCCATTTTATTTGGATCGCTTTTTCTATTTTTTAAGTTAAATAAATGAATGTTTATTAAGTAAATGAATCTTTCCTAGACTTTTTAGGAAACATTATTTTAGCATATTTAAGTTTACATAACAATAAAATTTCTAATAAACACTATATCTATAAATGCATTCNATCTAACAATAAGTTGTGCTATTTTTTCTTCTTCATTTCCCAGGTGTTGAGACGTTTGGAAAGAATGCAGTTGTTGTGGGAAGATCTAAAAATGTTGGAATGCCTATGGCTATGTTGTTGCATGCAGATGGAAATGGAGAAACTCAAGCAGGTAAGAATGAAATAAAATTAGAATCCATTTTATTTGGATCGCTTTTTCTATTTTTTAAGTTAAATAAATGAATGTTTATTAAGTAAATGAATCTTTCCTAGACTTTTTAGGAAACATTATTTTAGCATATTTAAGTTTACATAACAATAAAATTTCTAATAAACACTATATCTATAAATGCATTCTGATACTAAATACAAGTTCAAAATATTGATTGAAATGCACATATCATTCTTCTGCATTTTTTATCATATACATTTACATTGCTTTTAAAAAAAATTGTTAATACTCAGTCATGATGTTTTATATTTGCTTGTAAAAAAATGAAATTATTTTATTGTTAGGAAGATTAAAAATCTTTTCAAAATATAATTAATTATCTTAATCATTTATTGATCTCGCTTATTCTGAGTATTTTAGCCGATGATTGAAATCAATGATTTACTTGAAAAAAAACATGTGATTAATATTCAATAACTGATTCAAATCACTGATTTTTCGTGATTTAATTTAATTCATTGTAATGAGGAGCGACATAAATTCATCATTGTTCATGTAACGTTCGAATTATACAGAGATAAACTTTTGTGAAGATTGGAATACTCATATTCAATGAATTTAATAGTTTTTTAAATTAGTATATTTCATAATATTTTCAACGTTGTTTTCATATTTGTGTCGTGTAATTGAAACTTTATTTTAGTGCATACTTAAGAAATGTTTAAAGCGTTAGCAAACCAAGCAAAGTTTATTTAAAGGATTAGAAATATTAGTAGGTTATTGATTTTAAGTGCATTTTCACTATTTTTGTTGATGACAATATAGTATAATGCTTTTTAATAATGAAAAAATATTAGCATTTAAGCTTCATGAACTTTTTTATTTTACTCAGAAAATTGAAAGCTGTATCACTTAGAAATAGTTCTAAATGCACCTCAATGTGTGAAAAACTTCTTCAATAAATTTTTTCCTTAGCTACATTAAATTTCGTCATATTTCTTTTTAAGACCATCTAAAAATAATTCTTTCATTAAAATCTTACTTAATTTGTAAAATTTTATAATTTCTGGGAATTACACGCTTATAAAATTTTAGTTGTCTATTTTGCTTATAGCTTAAAAGCTGAGCCCGGCAGTATTTTAGCGCATTTGTATAGAAATAATATAACTTCGATGCGAAATTCTAAAATAAACAATTAGTTAAAAAAATATTAAATATTAAATTAATTTTAATTTAGTAGTGCAGAAAAATGAAATTTATTATAAAAAGAAGCATTTAATTCATCTTTAGACATAATATTAGAATTCATTTAGTGAAAACTATTTTTATACTTTAAAGTGATCTGTATAATTTTTTTTAAATTTGCATTTCTAAGTAGTAAATGATTTAGAGTAAGTATTTAAAAAATTTAAACATTCACTTACAGGTGAATAATTCCTTCTTTTTCTTAACCTTTGGCATAGAATACGATTCGATAAATAATAGTCATTAAAATATTAACAGTGAGCATTAGTAATTATTAGCTCTAATTGAAGTTTAAGCCATTGAAAATTAACATATTACTAGTATAAATTTCTCTTTTAGATTTTCACTACAGAAAGCTTCTACATCCTTAGAAATTTGTTCATTTTAATTGTTGTCTATTTTTCCGTTTGATTATATTTAATTGGCCTTAATATTTAGATTTATTAACATTTTAAAAATTATCAAAAGAAATATTATAGCCCCTTACCAAATTAAATATATCGGTTAAATATTTCCAAAACCAGTAATATTTGTAAGATAATAATTTAGTTGGCTATGTAAATTAATCAATTTCAATTTAATATTATATTATTTCAGTTTGATTGTTAAGCGAAATACGATGTTATTGGGTCTTGATTTAATGCTTGTTTATACAAAAACTGGTACAATAGATTGAGAGTATGATGGTAGAGTACAATTATCTATGATTTTACTCACAATAATGCGTGGATTTAAGATATATGATTACAATATGCGAATTCATAATAATAATAATATGATGATGATGATGAAAGATTGTAATTGTGTCTTTCAAAAGTTATTCAATCAGAAATATTTAAAAACATAAAATATAACAATGAAAAAATAATAGTTATTATTGGAAAACTGTAGCATTAAATTTAATATTCTATATTATTCAATCAGATAAATGTAAAAATTAAAACTTTCACTCCAATTTTATTTAATTGTTTTATTAAGTGAAACGTGTTTTCTCATTCCAGTAAAAAAGAAATTCAAATTTATGAACTTACTATTTACGTAAAAAAAACAACAACAAAAAACATTCAAATAAAATCGAGTTAAATAGCAATTTTTCACAAATATATAATTTTTTTAAACTAGTTAATTATTTATTAGAGTTAATTAATTATTGAATATTTTTTAATTATTAAAATTGTTAAAATAAACAGAAATATTTAAAAAAAAAGTATTCCTTAATTATTTTAAAGCAATATCGAAAGGGAAAGAATAATAAATTATAATATTTTATGCACTTAATTAGTATTAATAAATTACCTATTATATTATATATGCTTAATAAACTATAATTTAACGCTTAAACAGGGATTGAGAGTTTGACTAATGAAGTTCTTTGATTCAGTGAGAGTGTTTCTCAAGTATCTTTCTTACTAAAGGCTGAGAGTTAGCTTTAATTGTGATAAATTGATCTATTTCTTAAAAGNAAAAAGAAATTCAAATTTATAAACTNAAATAAATATTATATGTTCAAAAAAAAAAAAAAAAAAACATTCATATAAAATCGAGTTAAATAGCAATTTTTCACAAATATATGATTTTTTAAAAACTAGTTAATTAATTATTAGAGTTAATTAATTATTAAATATTTTTTAATTATTAAAATTGTTAAAATAAACAGAAATATTTTTAAAAAAAGTATTCCTTAATTATTTTAAAGCAATATCGAAAGGGAAAGAATAATAAATTATAATATTTTATGCACTTAATTAGTATTAATAAATTACCTATTATATTATATATGCTTAATAAACTATAATTTAACGCTTAAACAGGGATTGAGAGTTTGACTAATGAAGTTCTTTGATTCAGTGAGAGTGTTTCTCAAGTATCTTTCTTACTAAAGGCTGAGAGTTAGCTTTAATTGTGATAAATTGATCTATTTCTTAAAAGACCTTGGTTTTTAAAATGTGAGCTAGAATGTTCGCTTTTTATCATTCGCTTAACACAAAAACAAGCTTACAACTTTTTTTTTGTTGGATTCAAGCCAGATACTAAAAAAAATATGTGGTGATTTTTTATAGAATCATCTTTAAAAAAATGTAACATTGTAAACATTAAATACATATAATTGAGGCATCCGCCGTTTTAAAAAATAAGGCAGTATCTGCACAGATATTAATTTAGAGATAACATAAATTTCGGAAAACAAAGCTGAACTATTATGAAAATAGTTCTGGATTACCGAATCGTTTAACATTGCTGTAATTGTTTAACTATTGTAATGCCGTGTAATAAGTATTAAGAACCTAGTAAAGAAGAAAAGAGAAAATGGCGAAAAAGGACTGTATCTTATTGTAACAATGTAAAAAACGTGCTCTCAATTAACAATATAAAAAATTTCTCTCAAATAACACTGTAAAAACCTACTCGCATTCGTAGAAAAGTATAGTTAGGATTTACCATTGTTATGATTGTGCAAAGGTGCAAAATGGTACAGGTCTATTGTTTTAACCTTAAAATCCAAAGGTAGAACGTTGCACTTATATGTCATTTCATTTTGGATTCGAAAGGGAGTAACTAAAGATGTTTAAAGATATTGCTTTGAAGTCAATTACGTTTACTTATTTAAATATTATCAAGTGGAATTTACATTAATCTATAAATATTATCTATTCGAAATAATTTTCATTCCGTTATAAATGAATTCGAAAGCTGTTGCTTGCAACAGCATATTTTTGTTGAGAACAAAGGTTCTCATCAAAACACATATATAAAATTTTAATATATATGATTTGAAATTTCAGACATTTCATATTCGCTGTGATTGCATATATGAGTATTTTGTTTCATTTCATGTGTTAAAGAATTGATAACCATTTTAGAAACAACTATCAACTTGCTAAAATCCTATTTTGATTTATTTAAAATAAAAATACCTAATAATATCTTCAAATATTTAAGTACATTATGAAAATTTAGTACATTATATTTAAAACTTATTCACGTTAAATTTGCTTAAATTCTCCTCGGTAACTAATTTTATTTATGATAAAATTTATTCGCCAAATTGTTAGCACTTTTTGATAGATCAAGCTCTCAAAGGAAATGCTGTTTGCAGTATCTGTGCTAACAATGTTTATAAATATAAGGTGCTTGGTGCAAATTATTAAAGAGAGTGTTTTTGGCGAAAACTTGTGCGATTTTCGTTTCAAACTCTAAGATAACTTAGTGTATTGATCTGTAGCACAAATTCAATAAACGTGTTTAATATTTATTTTGAAACAGCTCCAATTAGCAGTTTAATGTATACTTCGGGAAAAGTATAGCTTGCTGAGATACTGCTTTAAGCATTTCATTGAAGTTGTTCAAATACAAACTGTGAAATGAATGAATTAGTAAATTTTAAGCAATCTAAAAATCACACATAACACTCACATCTGACAATTTAAAATAAATCTTTCCTTTTTGTTTTTTTTAAGGTGATGCTACTATCACTGTTTGCCACCGGTATACACCAGCTGACCAACTGGTTGAATACACGAAAATGGCTGACATATTGGTTGTTGCCACTGGAATACCGCATCTAATTAAAGCTGATATGGTCAAAGAAGGTGTAGCAGTCATTGATGTTGGTATAAATCGAATTAAAGACCCTCTTTCTGGAAGACCAAAACTGGTTGGTGATGTTGATTTTGACAGTAAGTGTAATTTCAATTTCTGGTAAAAGCGTAATTTTTACTATCAATTAGGTTTTGTTTCATTGGCATATTAATTAGACTTAAACTTTATTTATAAATGATGTTTAAGACTAATGTTACATTATAATCTGTTTAAAAGAATTAAGTTGAAAGTTAATTAGAAAAAAATTACAACACATGATGTGATAAAAAAAATAAGTAGAATTTTTTAAACTAAAGCATCTCTGCAACAGCCAGTTAGCCAATGGAGATTTAGGCTCTATACAATTTCCAGATCAATATCTAAATGAAGGCAATCCGGTAAGCATTGCTTACCTGCAATTCTCAGGCAAATCGGTACTTATCTATCGGAATCTGGGTAGGTTTCAACCAGCCACCGGGTATAGAGCTTTGGTCCTATACTACGTCGACTCAGTGCCTTCACCGATGTTTCATCGCGGCTAAGAAGGCAAAATTAGAAAAGGGCAAGATTTTACGTCAGGTGGTTTACATATGAATTCCAATTTAGATATCTTTATTTCTAATTAAAAACATGTAAGTAAAAGAAGTACCTAATTATTTAATATCTGACATGAAAGTTTTCATAAAATACATTTCATTTAACGTAGTTACTATCTTACTTGTATGGACCAATTAAGAACTATCACTATTATTTATAAATTAATCTTAGGAAAATATTGTTGCCTATAATTAAATATTAGAATTTTGCCTTATGCTGACCACATAATAAACTAAATTCTGAACTGTTTCTAAGTAAAAGACACTCTATTTGAATTATTACTTGTGACAACCGTAGTTACTTACATAATTACTAAAACTGTCATCCTCTATCTTGACTTATCATCAAGAGAAAAATTCCCGCTGACAGTTGCTCCCGGAAATAAGGAAAAAAAACTGGTAATAAAATTATTTCAATTCTAGCTAGTTTATGGAAGTAATAAAATATCTACGACAGTTGTAGCTTATTAAACGATTATATGCAGTATAGTTTCTTAAGTCGAAAAATGTTTTACCCCTTTCATCAAAAATGTTTTGCCAGAAAAGAATTGCTTTTATTATTAAAGAAATGATTTTACTACTAGCTTCTCATTTCTGCTGGGTACGGTATGTTTTTTTTATAAACTCGATTTTTTTCCCCAACTTGCTTATGTGACTTGTACATGATGGACTAAAACACAAAGACCTAATGTGTGAAGACAAGGATATATCTCTTCCTTATTACAAAGCGGAAAGTATTAATAGTTGAAAAAAGTTCTTCCACTTTTATCCTTAGAAGAAAATATTTTAAAAGAGGAATTTGTATCAACATTTAAAACCTACAGACAAATCCTGGTTAGTGAGGGGGTAGGTTTATGAATGATTGACTTTGGAAAAAAGTTTAAATACACGTTTAGAAATTTTGAATCGCATTGAACCTTAAATACCGTTAGAATTTTCTCCAACCTTAGTATGATGATTAATCGTGAAAATTAATTATTTTTAAAATTTATTAATCGATAGCTTGAAGGGTTGGATACATGATTGTAACTTAAACGGAGAAATGTCTCAACACTTTCGTAAGATAGCAGTCAATTCGCACTAATATGCTTTAAAATATTATGATTCAATGCAGAGCTGATTTCCTGAGGGGGCAGGAACATACCATGTGCTTCAAAAACATGCATTTAAGTTTTAGAATGCAGTTTATACTTATATTTTGAGGTCTACGCTATAAATATTTTTAGGTTAAGTCTTTACTCCCATAAGGTAACTGTTTTCTTTATAATAGTTTGTTTGATTTTTTTTCTTATGGTATTTTTTTAATTTACAATATAATTTAGCTTTTGAAATGCTGCATGAAAATTGTATTTTCGCTTGTTTAATATTACAAGAAACAAGAACCTTCTTTTCCTTATATTACACGGAGTTTGTTTTAACGGGATTTAGATCAATTTTTTTTTTACATTTTCTATACAAAGACAGATAATTTATTTTTAGTATGATATCAACACGCTAAATGTCATATCAGTCTCTAGTGACTAATTTTGAACTTTTCGTTTACACTATGTCAGTCACCGTTGACTAATAATGTAAAATATTATAAAACACTAAAAAATTCATAGTGTAAGTAATTACTGAAAATTTATTTCATTTACATTTATTACAAATCAAATTTTTATTTGTTTTAATCTGTTAGTAGTGCGCTTCGCATTCCTATGCCACAATGCAAGTGCTTCTAAGCTACGTGAGTGTCTACGTGTCGAGGAGGCTCTTATGCCAGGGGAAAAAAAAGCTTGGTTTGAAAGTCCTAAATTTGAAACAATATTCAAAATTTTGAGCTACGAACGATCCTCTCGGATGTCATCACAACGCTTTTCTTGAAGTTCCTCTGGTCACACCGGCCTCTAGCAACTTTTACAGGAAATGTTTATAGTTAATACAGTAGATTTGAATATTTGACACTCCACGGTGTATTATGTATCTCTTTCATATTTTCATTTACAAGTGGTCGATTAAATTTGTAAGTATAAAAGAATAATAGTTCTATGTAATTTATTCTTTTACAGTTAAGTTCCTATGTTACGTTTCAATAACTACTTCAGTATTAAATTAAGATTGGATTACTTAGATTTATGTTAGCGTTTAGAAATTTTTTTCACATTGTGCATTTATGTAAAAGCATAAAATTTTCTAATCAATAGCAAATCTTTAACTTTAGATTTTATTTTTATTATACGTAAAAAGTGTTTTTTTTTCTGTATTTTTATTTATTCCTGTCTACTTTTATTCTGTCATATAATAAATTCTACTTTAAACAGAGGAGAGAAAAAATATACATTGATAACACTTTTCCGTAATTATTCTTCCATTAGTTTAAAAGGATGAATACATAATCCATGTTATAATACGTATTATATTTGACAATAAGATAAATATAAGAATAAGAAAGAAATGAGGAGAAATTGAAGTAAATCGTAATTTTACTTTACAAAATGAACTTCTGTTTTCAAAAACACTCGGCATCTTTAAAAAATTAACAACTAAATATTTCACACAACTGAAATAAAACAAACCAAACCATCCCAAAGAACTTCATAAATTCATAATAAGTTAAAAATAATAAATGAAGACGATAAATTCTATTCAGCAAGTAGTTGAGCTTTTCGCCAAAGGGCGGCGCTGAAAACGTTAAGAGTGTTGCCATTTTGGAGCGCAAAGATATTTATATGCTCTAGCATAAGAGTGGAAACTCTTTCTATATTTCTCTGTATTTTAAACGATATCGTATACTAATACTATCATGATATCGTATACTATTATCATTATGCTGACTATCGTATACTATTACTATTATCATTAAACCATTAGAATCGATGACTGATTCCCAATTCTTAAGTATTTTTATGAGCCTTAGTAATGTAGTGTTAGAATTTTTTTTTAATTATCAAACAAATTAGATCACAATAATTTTTCATCTTCAGATAGGCGTGACTTCACTATATCATTTAGGTTATCAACATAGAAGTTAGCTCGTCATTTAGGTTATCAACATAGAAGGGAGCTGTCTAGAGATGTACAAGACTTAACATATAAGCCATAAATAACTGTTTCGGACCGGCATCAGTTGTCAAAAAGATGTATTATTCTCCAATTTTGCGTAACAAAAGACTTTTCGAAGAATAGTCATAAATTAATGTCAATATCCATTTCAAAAGGAAATATTAAATTCTTTCATAAATGATTCAGTCATCAACAAATGCTTGTGTAATAATTTTTTAACAATTTGCCTTTTAATTTCTGTATCTAACTTTAGGAATAATAGAGAAAGCCAGTAAAATAACTCCAGTACCAGGCGGTGTTGGGCCGATGACAGTAGCGATGCTGATGAAAAATACTTTGACAGCAACATGCAGTTCTATTCGATATGAAACTGGAACCATCGCTGAGTATCAGACTTGGGAAGACGATGAAGAAAAAATTGCTTTTGTTCTATAAATGTTTTGTAAATATGTTGCTTACATATATTTATTTGTATTATATGTCAATGATTTACATTTCTTTTTGCCTACATCATGGAATTGATTATTTGACACAATTCTATCCAAAGATTTCTTCTGAGAGAGAATCAAACTAAAAAAACGAATTTGATTTTCGAATTCAAACGATTCGAAAAACGCTTTGATAAAAGTGGTATATTGTAAAAAAGTATATCATTTGTAAATAAATGTATTTTTAATATTTGATTTGGAATATTATTTTTTATCTAATATGTACTTAGTGTTTATGCTCTTGTCTATAAAATAAATACATTTTTTGTTCTTTGATTGGGCTTTTTTGGTCTATCGCCAGATTCTGTTCAAATATTTTATTCCATAAATTTTTTACATTTAAAGTATCGTCTGCTTTTTTTTTTACAATCTTTGTTTTTTTTCTAAATAAAATAATTCCTTGTGGGGAAATGATTTAAAAGCTTTTTAAAATTGCGCGTTATCTACTTTTGGTAAAACTCTGCCTAAGATTAGTTTTATAGTTTTCTGCAAATGAAAAGTAACTAACTACACATTTAAATAAGCATTTTTCAAAGTATAGAAGTTTTTGAAAAATTATTTTAAAACGAAATAAGCATATTTTAGCATTTATTTAGTTTAAACACATAGTACAGATCTGGGGAAAACATTTGCTATGAAATTGAGGCTCAGTTAGCACTAGAAACTTTAATTTTTGGAGCTAAATCAAAAGTTTTTATGAAAACACTATTTTATAGATACAAATATCCAGAGATGTCAAAATGATGTATTGAATTTTAATGTTGCAGTAATTTTTTATAGCTGCAATACATAGCCTAAATACTTTATTGTGTTATGAAAATAATAGAGCGCAAGACGTGAAATGTTATTTACGAAGTTTTTACTCGTTTCGAAAAAAAATGAGAATTTTTAAAAGTGAACTAGAATAAAACCCAAAATATTAAAAAAAACATTTATTAAAAAACAAAAACATTACAAAATAAATTGTCAAATGTGTGAATATAAAACCGATCAGTCTTAAAAGGTCATTTTTTTAAATACTATGATAAGTACAAGCATGGAGATTCGAGATTGCATGTAGCACACATTCAGCACAAAAATTCAGATCAACAAAGCACACACAGTTTTGCACTCACAGCTGCAAAAGTTATGAAAAAAAGCCTTTTTTAATATTTCAGACGAATCACATTTTGCCTACATTACATATTTTACAGGTCAAGAAGATCTAAAAAATGAAAATTTACTAAAAATGCTAAAACAATTTAAATTATAAAAACATCCTAAGTAAATACAGTTTTAAGGAATAAATTTTTCAGAGATACAAATCAGTCTGACACATTTTTGTTTACAAAAGATGCATATTGAGATATATTTAAACAATAGTGATTTATGTAAAAGATTTTTCAACGACCTATCATATGAACACCAACTAAAATTAACATTTTACTCACTATATATTCACTTCGGGCAAACATTACAAAAATACATCATAAAAAACGTACGGGATATTCTCAAAACACTTCTCTTAATATATATTTTTGGAATCATAACAAAGGTAAATAAAATAATATTCGAATAGAGGAAATATTAAAGAAATAACAAATGATTTTCAAGCTCAAGAATTTTAAAGATGAAATTAAAATTCTCTAAGCTATTAGAATATTTAAGAATCGATAATTGATTGTTGCACACTATTATGCAATTAAAGTAAGTTTTGATTGGATTAATAAAATTGTAAATTCTTTTCCATTTTTAATTTCGCAACAGACGTTCTACATATGACATTCGTGTTCATGATGCGTATTTTTGATAAGTATTCTAAAAGTATATAGCAGAAGCTGTACTTAAAAAATACCTAATCGCTCATATTTACAGACAAATGCATAAAGTTATAAGATTTTTGCGTAAAAATTTCCTCAAAAACAAGTAAATAAAATATTTTATGTAAAAAACAAACAAATCTTTTATAATTTAACGCAGTAAGAGTGAAGCGGAAATTTTTTATTACGATTATATTAAAACATAAATTTATTTTTAAGAAAAAATTACTGTACATAAATTCTTCAAACAAATAATAAATCTGCTTTAGTAGAGTTTTTAACTTTATGCATAAATTGCATCGAAATTGACACAGATTTATTCAGTTTTAACATTGAAATATTATCTTAATTCTTTACTTAGATTTAGTAAAATACTTCAATGTATTTGATAAACTTACTACTTACACTTACATTTATGCACTCTAAGAAAAAAGTTCTAATTATAATGAAGCACAACGAAACAAATTAGTTGTAAAAAAATTCCTTAAAATGTCAATATATTTTTTTCTCTGCAAAAATCGGAAAATTCTTTGTCGCAACTTCAGTCCAAAATTACTCACTATTCTAATTCTCTTCTTTTAGAAAATTCTTACAAATTAGTGGAACATCTTCAGCAATAGTAAAGCTCCTATTGTCATAAGAAGAGCTGAGGCAGTTCTTCCAGCTGAATTGCAACCATCACCGAGACAATTGCAAACACTTGTTTTACCACCAAATCCAGTTCTGTAGTAGCAAGCTCGGGAGGGATCAAACTCTGTAGAGGCACATTGGCGTATGACCCTTTTATCGGGGACCTCTGAAACGAGGAGATAAATTCATATATTAATTAAGAAAAAGTATTATATTAATTAATAAAGTATATTTTCAACAAACCGTTATTGAGATTATTGAAGGTTAATTATCGTATTTTTTAAACAGTTGATTAATGTAAGAAAAAACAAAAATATTAAGATAAGATAAAACAAAAATAATAGAATTCGCTTTTAATCATACGTTTTCAATCACCAGTTTGAAGGTCATCTAATAAGAGCCAGACTTTTAATGTATATTTTATTCATTTTCTGAAGTAAATAGTACATTGGGCATGCATAAAATCTGAGTTAATAAATTACGCTTCATTCTAAAAAAACTGTCGTTTCAACAGCTAGTCTCGATGATCGAATCGAAAATTGAATTTTAAACGCCCGCCTTTCTTAAAATTTGATTTCTCAGGAACTTTTTAACCAGATTTCATTCAAATTTTGTATTTTGCCACATAAAATTGCATTCTTCAAAATGACATAAAAGTTTATATATAACTTACAGTTCCTAATTTATTCGACTATATTTAAATAAATAATCAAAAATAATAAATGATTATTTTAAATTATTCTTTGCTTGCAATTATGTTTAAATAAGCGAATTTCATAATTGTGTGCAAAATTTTTTCAATTCGCTTAAAAAGTTCTCGAAATAATGGCGAAGAAGGCAAAAAGTTAAACTAACATTAAGGGGTACACATCTTGGACCACTTTCTTGATCAAGATATTGGGCTCATATTTTCCAGATAGCTGCTTCCACCTATATATTGACAGGCTGTGATAGCTTGGATGGTAGGGCCTATATCCAAGAGCGCGAGACTATGATCACCACTGGCCAAAGACATGGTGTAGTAAATGGTGACCAGTACGCGTTAAACCTGTTGGGTCATAAAGTCCTCCATGTTCCCATAACAAATCATACCTCAGGGGGTACTGAATCAGGGCTAAAGAGAATAGAAGGGCTAGTTCACTCCGCTCTTACACCTGAAGCTACGATTTCCCTCCTGATGACGTCACTGTGTCCACAGATCTCGGAGATAGCAAGCAAAGATATTATGATAACTTTGCATCTTTCTCTTTGTAAAAATAAGTTAGACTTTTTCTGGTTATTAGCTTTCAAACTTTACGTAATTAACACATTATTTCCGTTCATAAACATAGTTCAAAAAAACTTTCTTGGCCATTATATTAAAAAAAATACCATTTTAAACTTATAAAAATGTTTTACTAGTTGGCGAAAATGACACTATAAATACTTTATTTTAAAAAGTTCAGTTTTAACTTTAATTATTAAGAAAAATGAAAGCATATATCGACACTTTTTTTATCTACATATTCTTTTATAACAATAAGTTGAGTTAAATTTAGAATCCCTGATTTTAAAATATGCCGTTAATAGCAATTTGTTCATACTTAATCATTAGGAAACATCAACCTTAAACGCTAATTACTGAAACAAAATAATAATTTAGGTTCATAATGACATTAGAAATTTTACAATTGTTTATAGACATTTAAATTTACGATGATATAATTTATAGATATTTAAATTGAAGAGAATATAATTTTTAAAAAAAATCATAAATATTTAGAATAACTACATTAAAAAATATGTTATGAAATTAGGAGAATTTCAACTATATACTATATATTTTATTTATACTTTTTACTTACATTTTAATTTTCTTTGACTTTATCTATTTTTTAATTCTTTTCACCTGCCTTTCTTTATGAAGTAACGAGGCGGTTTCTATTTAGATAATGAATTTTTATAAAAGTTCTTTACGACAGAATAAACGTATTGCTGTTTTATATTAACTGTGTCATTTCGGAATCCATTCTTTACATAGTTGTTCATTTACTTTAGGGAACACGCGAAAAATTATACTTTTTCCTTTTGTTTTTATATCAGAATTTTTGCAAGTTGCAATCGCGCAAACTGGCATTTCGATAATAGTTTTAAATTCTTGTAAATTCACTGCAAAAACTGAGGAAAGTCATTATAGAAAATAACAAATGTCTTAGAATATCTCGCAAAAAGAAATGATCCAATATTAGTTAGAGCTAGTAAGGCCAAACGCTCCGTTCTTGAAGTAAAAGTGCGAGCTTTGCGCCAAAGTGACGTCATTTGATAAAATCGTAGGATTGGCGCTGCGAGAGCTACTTCAAAGGAGTGAACCAGCCCTTCTATTCTCTTTAGCCCTGGTACTGAATAGGAGACTGGTAGTTATCTTTTTCAGGTCAAAATTACGATCTGTGGATGAATGAGTGGATGTATGAATAGCTCCACCCTTCTAACGAGCTGTGACGTGATTGTGGCTGAAATCGTATTCTTGGTCAAAGATGGCGCCACTGAAAAGCAAAAAAACGCACCCTCTGTCTTAAATTTGCTTGGTTTCACCAAGCAGGCTTACTGGTTGGCAAGTGACACTAGAAACAATAACAACACAACAGATTTTGATGATCAGAAATCCGGATTCGTAAAAAAAAGTATGTCTATTTCAAAGAAAGTACGTTTTTGTGACTGATATCGTAACTTAAAATACCGACTACACTAACTTATTAGCATATTTTAAATCACTTCTTCGAACCATTAGTTTGAGTTCTAGTACGTGAAAATCCGATATTTAGGGGGACCAAAAGTTATTCCACTGTACATAATTTATTACTATTTAAAAAAAAAACATTAGAAAATTATCCATATTTTAAGGGATCAATCTCATAAAAAATAGAGCTACCAAGTGCACAGTTTGAAGTAATTAAGCAGAAAAATAAAGTTTCACCAAATTTCTACAACCCAAAGCTTACATCTGAATTTAACTTACAGCTACCAGCTTTAAGTGACCAGTTAATTAACAAAGTAATAATTTTTCTACAACTCAAATCCTATTGCTTTTCTATGATCTGAAGGGAATTTCGTCTCCTCAATATTATTTTGATACCTAAATGCAACGATATTTAGAAAATAAAATAGAACTTAGATATTTTTAGTATATCTCCGACTCTTCTGTGACAGAAAAAAAGCTAGCAATTTTTGAAAGAAAACTTGTTTGAATTTGTTTTATTTAATATTATTTCATTTTATATACCATCCCTTCATAAATTCAGACTTAAAAATGCTAGGGAATGGTATATTCAGCGTCTTTTATTCCAACCAAACAAAAGAGCACCGTTTTACGCTGTCACAACCATTGGTACCAGCTGTTTGTGATTCCAGTTTTATTAAGCCTAAAGGTTCCTCCGATGTCTAAAATGCCTATATGTGATTTGAATATTAATGAGTTGTTGAACTTAAATCTTTAATTCTTTTGCACCGACATCCCGGGAATTCACTAAGTTTTAAATCAAGCAGATTTAGGATAGTTGGAAACAAAAGATTAAAAGTTTATAAGTTAGTTTTGAAGAAAAAATACTTACGCTTTAAAACTTCGAAATCCACCCACTGTTCCTGAGTCCTGCAAGTAACATTCATAGGACCTTCACAATTCATTAAGTATTTAGTGTCTTTTGGCTCTACCGTAAAACAGTCTTCTTGACCAGGCTCAGCTGAATTGCAAACTTGACATTTTAGGCAAAAAGCTGCAAAGAAAAATTCATAAATTATTACCATATAAAAATAATATATGACACGCAAATAATATATTTATGGAAATCACTTTAAAAGGATTTAGGAGTCAAAACCTATCCGTCTTCAATTTGAAATCAAGATAGCAATAGAAACTTTTTCATCATTTTATGAAAAATTATTTAGCTAGCATGAACTAGGATTTTTAAAAATGTCCTTTTTTCATTATAAAAATACTTTTACTGGAAAAATGTAATAATATTTTATATATATATCTCCCTTCACACTGTAAAAATTATTTTACTACAATAAAATAAGATAATCTCTTATTTTTATGAATCTCTCTTAACATTATAAAAATTGTTTAACCAGATTAAAAAACATAATAATTGCCTTAATTTTTATAAATTTGTGAAAAAAATTTTTGCTAAAAAACACAAAAATTTTTAAAAAAAAATTTATGAATCCCCTTTTATAGTTTGAACAGTATTTTACTAGAATGAAAAAAGAATAATTAGTTTAATTTCTAATAATGTCTCTTTATATCTTCACAATAAGGCAATCGAAAGTTTCTAGGTGCGGAAACCAACACATAAGGGATGCGGGTGATTTCACTAAATATACTTTAACTGCGATTAGTGTAGGAATGACACTTAAAAACAAATGCATTAATAAGATAATATGAAAATTATTTTGTTAAAACTATTTAATTTCCATAATGTAACTAAAAAAGTATTTTATTGTTATCAAGTTTTTGGTCTTAGACGTTCCGAAAAGGCAATATTATGGGTGCAGTCACAAATTCCGCAAGCGTACATATTTTTTAAAACTGTAACACTATATACTTCTACAATACTTAAAAATGGCTGTAATTAATTCCTTACATACAATAAAACAAAAAAATGCTTCACGAAATTGGTTAACAGGACATCGTCAATAAAACCGATTTAGATGTTTACCGGTTTAGACCGAGATTTTCATGCGCAACACAGTAAAATCTCAGACAGATTTTACTGTGTAGCGCATGAAAATCTCATTTATGGGAGAAGACGGGTTCGGTTGAACCTGCTCAATTATTTTAATGTAGTTATATATTTTTACTTATTTTTTTCCATTAAAATGTTGCGCCATTAGTATTACTAATCCCATAAAAGAATTATATGACTGGGTAAAATTGAGTCATTTTTATTTCAACAAGTTGTACTTGAGGTTTGCTAAGTACATTTTTTTAACCGGTACTGAATACTTCGGTGTGCGTTGGTCTGTTCTTTTTCTTCTTTTAAAAAAATATGAATTAAAAAATTACTAACTGAGCATTTCGAAAAAAAAATAAATGCCGCGATGGCTCAAGGGATAGAGCGTTCGCCTTCTAATGAGGTGAACCAGGTTCGAATCCCCAGCAAAGGCTGGTCGAAACGAATCCGCATCCGGCTTGCACCGACCACAGTGTTAACGTGAAATATCCTCAGTGGTAGACGAATCATGGGTTAGAGTCCCTTTGCCGTAAGACTAACCGTGGGAGGTTCTCGTGGTCTTCCTCTCCTTGTAACGCAAATGCGGATTGGTTTCATTCAAAAGTCCTCCAAGAAGGTGAATTTCTCCCAATACTTAATCCAGGAGTTCCTTTGTCTTCTGGATTGGATTCAAAATTACAAGGCTACGGCGTTGAACATTAGTAGTCGTAAACCCAAAAAATTGGGCCAGCTGTTCAATGACGGTTACATAAAAAAAGAAAAAAAATAAGGAAAGGAAAGTGATTTATCTTTTTAAAAAAAAATCAAACTATATCGTCAATTTTTTAGTTAAACAAAACGTAAATCTGAATCCAATTAAATCGTGTTCCTTCAAAATAAAATGAATCGTCTAGTCAAATAAAAATAGCAGAAGTTGGAAATGAGTTGAGGTTGAGCCCGATATGAACTAGTTCCTGGACATTTCCTTTATTTATTTTTATTCTTAGGTTCATGAGATAATTTGAATGGTGGACTTGATACTTTCTACCCTAAGGGTTTCTCTATTTACGTCATATACAATCAATTGACGTCATTAAAGTATCTGCGAACATTTTATCATTATAATTTCTATAAAATAAGACTGCATTCGCAATGAGATCTCACTAAGGGACTATCATGAAACTGCCCAGGTTAAAGAAAATGCAATTATTTCATTTTTTCTTTTCTTTTCTTTTTTTTTTTTTTTGAGTACACGAATCGAAGAATATAAGCACTCTCATGCTTAATTTATACGAGGTTGTCAAGGCAAAAAAATTAAACTTGTCGTTAAAAATTATTTCCATTAATGTTCAGAAAAGTTTTCAAATTGTTTAAAAATTTCAGATTTCAGAAAAAAAAGTGATGCTGATGATAAATTTTACTAAAACGATCCAATAAAGATAAAAGTTTTAATATCAAAATGTAACTGCTTTTCGGCTGAAAAGCATTGAGAATAATTTTGAGAATAGATTACGTATAAAAGCACACTAAGCACATTAGTTTATCTCTAACATAAAAAGACTACAGCATCACTGATTTGTAAGTTTTAACAAAACAAACAGCAAAAATCAAGTAATTAATAACAAAAACCCCACTGTAATCTCCAATGATAAAAGTGTTGTAAAACAAAGTATATTAGTCAGCAAACAGAATAATGCAATAGTGACTCGACATACTTCAACGAATTTTCCCGCGCTTAAGATGAAAATAAGTGTTTCAGCGAGAAAAGGAGAAATTCTATTGTTTTCCCATCAAGAAAACGGATAAAACTTCACGCTAATAACTTCGTTTAATAATACTGACATACGCATCCTCTTAAAAAAAATGGCACTGAAAGTTTGAATTTTTCAGTAATAAATGTATAATAAATTAACAAATAAAAATTTTCACATTCAATGTTTAAAAGTTCTATTAATACTATTTAGAAATTATATTTCCCCTCAATTAAATTCTGCTGTATAAAAACATTTACGATTTCTATACTTTGATTTCCTATATAAGATGAATGAAAAGCCTTTCCATTTAAATATATTGTTCATAACGGAATGAAATGGAGAACTTTATTAATAGTTGTTAAAATTGTTTCACTATTTCGGTAATGCACTGGCAATAGCCAATTGAATTACCAAGATTAGAACAGTTTAAGAACCTCTGATAATAATGTATCAAAGTATTTGATGGTAACGTATCATAATGTAACGAAGTAGATAATAACGTAGAAAACACAAATAACATATTTAAAACCGACAAACAGGCGTTAAGGTAATATAACTGTGTATCATAATCAAAATTATCTCAGTATTGACGCTGCAAACAGTTTTTTTTAACTTCTTTTTGTTGGACTGTTTCTACTTTATTATTAAATTTTCGAGATTTTTTTTTTTATACGGAACATAAACTTTTCCTTTTCTAATACTATCTACAAGCGCTGACGAGAATATCGAATCACTTTGACTATTCAATACTTTGCATCAGAAAATACGGAATATTTATAAATTGAACATTAATCGCATGATAAATGGTAAATGATTCAAAAGTTTAATAAACGCAAGATGAATAGGAAAATACAAGATATAATATCAACTCAACCAAAAGAGAGAAAAATAATCAACTTAACCAGAAAACGGCAAGCGAAATATTATTATAACAAAGTTTTCATATTATTTATAAATAACAGAAATATATCAAGCTCAGTTGAAACCGATTTTGCATTGTTCATTGATACAGTAGAATGTTTCTTCTATTATTGATATCTTAGAGGCCAAGTGTTGTATGTATACAACAAAAAGAGAGGGGAAATGTAATTTCAGACACACATGAAGGGCTAAGGGAAATATAATGACCAGCAAATTTTTTCTACTGGTGATAATTTTACATCAAAGTGTTCTTCAGTATTTCTTACCAATAGGTACTTAACCTTAAAAGTTCCCCGAATTTCTCCTAGATACCTAACAGCCCAATACAGAGAAAGCTTATTTTACACCTGGAAATCATGTTTTTTCCACTATTTTATAAAGCGCATTAGACATTATTGCTTCATTGGCTTTTCATTCGACACTGCTTCAAGTCCTCCAATAAAGTGAATTAGATTAAATTAACAATAATTTTAAGCAAAAACTGAAAGTTTTGAACTGCTAATTAGCAATCATGTTTTAACAAAAAACATCGAAACAAGTGGTTTCATTTCTTTATATATGTTTAAGTAAACTCAGAAGATCTAAGATTTCATTTTGTGTTCTTTATCTAACTTTGAAATATGAAATAATTGAAACTATTTACTTTCCTACTGCAAATTTAATAAATTGTTCATTTTTGAAACCCTAAATGCTTTCATTTAAAATATTGGTCTTTAATGCTTATGAAAATTAATTTATCCTATGTAATAGAAAATTTTTCATTTAAACTTACAGCACCAAGGCGTTTTCAGTGCTAATTTCTCACATACACAATGCGAGCACCAGTTTTGCAAACCTCCTCTAGCATTCGTCAAGGAAAATCAAATAAAAGAACGAAATTGCTCTCAATATTGTTTATCATATTAATGGCAATTATAATGATATTAGGGTTGCAACAAGAAAGAAATCATTATGACGTATTTTTGGATACTTTATCCAAAAATTTCGCCAAATGCTTTTTAACAACAAAACTGAAAAAGGAAGTAGATCTTCACTTAGATAATAAAACCAAGGAATTTGATGAGATACGCGATGTTGAATGATTGATGCATTCATTGAGATATTTATGTGCTCAGACGGAGGGTGATAGCTGGCTTAGTATTGGATTGGAATGTTTTTACGTCATTATCCAGCCACAGTAATATTTGGAGAATTTATTGCGCCAATTGGGGCTTTTTTTAATTGAACTAAGGCAACGTGGAAATTATCTCAATTTTAATTTGATGTTTGGCTTATATATAAAAACTAAAAAAGAGAGGAAAAAGAAACACTATACGAAAATTACAAAAAGTAACATTATAAAAAGTTTGAAGAACCGTGAGAAATAAATTTTTTCATTACTCATTA